TTTTTTTTTTTTTTTTTTTTGAACTAATAACATTCACTGACAGATTGTTGAAAGTGGCATTGGCTTTTTGAATGCATGGCTGCCTGGTTGGCCAGAAGGTAATCACTCCATACAGCATGATTTGCATAAGGTTATGGCTTGGTGATAACTGATTGAACTGGAATAGGAATATTTGTGTAGCATTCCAACTGGTATCACTGATTGGTTGGCTGGGAATCATGCCACACATTATTTGCATAGTGCTACAGCTTGATAAGCACCGATTGGTTGACCAACCCATTTTCAATTGCTATTGATCAATTGGATTGATGTCGAAGCAGGAGTTTTAAGTTCACTTCAGTCCATGACTTCAGAAGTTCAGTTCAGGAGATCTAAGTTCAGTTCAGCTCAAGACTTCATGTTGGAAGTTAAGTTCTAAATGTTAACTTCGTAAGTTCGTAAGGATATACATCAGTTTCATCTAAGTTCAGTTAGGAACTTCAGGTGTACTTCAGTGGTTAAGGCAAGTCTGGATTTGCCTCGCTGTTTGTTCTTCAACCGCCAAAAGATTACTACTAGCCAACAACTTATCGATACGTTGCAAGGTGTCTTCTCGACAAACCTGATCAGTATATTGGTCTGTTTGAACTTTATTTTTATTTAACGTAATTGGCGTTAAATAAAAGTTGGGTGCCAATTGGTGTGTGAAATATGAACATTGTAAATTTGACTTATAGTCTACTAAGAAATATATTTTTTGTAAATCTGAATTCGTCCTGGCAATTTTTTTAAATATATCTGTTTCACAAAAAATATATATATCTTGGTAGACTATACATACTGGATGAGTCTATTTCATTTGGTCCTTTCACACGCTGTTGGTGTAATAACGATTCCATGGCAGAATCGACCTTTATTGTAAGCTACTTGTCCACCAACCAGTGTAAAAAAAGTTAAAATAGTCCTCTAGCAGTGACACAATGATAAAATTAATAAATACATTTTTAAAAAATTGCCAGAACATATATTGTCATGGTTGGATCATGTAAAGACACTTTTTTTTTTTTTTTTTTTTGAACTAATAACATTCACTGACAGATTGTTGAAAGTGGCATTGGCTTTTTGAATGCATGGCTGCCTGGTTGGCCAGAAGGTAATCACTCCATACAGCATGATTTGCATAAGGTTATGGCTTGGTGATAACTGATTGAACTGGAATAGGAATATTTGTGTAGCATTCCAACTGGTATCACTGATTGGTTGGCTGGGAATCATGCCACACATTATTTGCATAGTGCTACAGCTTGATAAGCACCGATTGGTTGACCAACCCATTTTCAATTGCTATTGATCAATTGGATTGATGTCGAAGCAGGAGTTTTAAGTTCACTTCAGTCCATGACTTCAGAAGTTCAGTTCAGGAGATCTAAGTTCAGTTCAGCTCAAGACTTCATGTTGGAAGTTAAGTTCTAAATGTTAACTTCGTAAGTTCGTAAGGATATACATCAGTTTCATCTAAGTTCAGTTAGGAACTTCAGGTGTACTTCAGTGGTTAAGGCAAGTCTGGATTTGCCTCGCTGTTTGTTCTTCAACCGCCAAAAGATTACTACTAGCCAACAACTTATCGATACGTTGCAAGGTGTCTTCTCGACAAACCTGATCAGTATATTGGTCTGTTTGAACTTTATTTTTATTTAACGTAATTGGCGTTAAATAAAAGTTGGGTGCCAATTGGTGTGTGAAATATGAACATTGTAAATTTGACTTATAGTCTACTAAGAAATATATTTTTTGTAAATCTGAATTCGTCCTGGCAATTTTTTTAATGTTAATATTATATTTTAATAATAATTAAATAAAATTCTGTGATACTTTCCAGTTGATCAGTTGTGTGGATATTAGAAAAATTGTAGAGTAAATCTTTCTATTCTTACCAGACAAATGTCTTTTTCTTTGAAGAGAAAACTGTATTCTGATAGTGAAAGAATTTACAAAAGAGAGATAATAATACAATTTATTCAAATGAGTTGATTTACAGTCAAACTTCTATATAATGAAGTTGCTAAATCCTGAAAAAAAATTTGCTATAGGGAAATTTCATTATACAGAAATTACATTTTTCGATAAATAAAGAATTGTTTTAACATAATTTTTTCATTATTTTATGTAATTTAAATTTATATAATTGTAACATACAGTAATAACATATAAACATAGTTTTAATTTTAAACAAGTTTACATTTTTGTGTTAAAATATGTACAACTTAGTTTAACTACGTTTTCATTAAAAAATTGTAAATTTTTGTTGCACAGAACAATTAAAAAATGTTCTCTCTTCATAATATGCTTCACACTTATTAAGAGCATTAAAACTGCTTTATCATAAAAGCATAAATGCAGGTTCTAGCATGTTTTCCTGTAGATCTCTCATCATCAGCTAATTTCAAAATTGATTTATGATTTGTTATTATGGTTGATAAACTACTCACAGGAATTCCAAACTTTGCTATAATAAACATTTTTTTTTTTTTTAGCCTTTATCAACTTTCTGAAACACATTAATTTTTTTTAATAATGCTTAAACACTGTAGGACTGTCCATAAATTACATTCAAATTTTTCCTGAAATTTTTACTTTCCCTTCTCATTGTCTCAGTTTGTCCAAGTTTCCATAACCACCTCCCCTCTTCAGACATCTAACAAAAACTCAGCCCCTTCAAAACCTTATTACTTTATGAATAATAAAATGTATAAACTGTGTAAAGTTTAATGAAATAAAACAGATGTCCATTGAAGTTTAACTTCTCCCTTTCCCCTTGTCAGACTCTTTATCTAACTTCTTATAAAACTTGTTCTTAATTCTTGTATTAATTCTTAATTCTAAATCTTAATTCTTGTAAATCTAACTTCTTATAATCGTCCTCTCTCCCAGTGTGGGTGTCATTTATGGACAGCCCTGTATTAACAGTTCTTCATATTCCAATTGGACAACTTATTAAATAAAATAAAATCTCACTAACCTCAAGCAGCAGCAGTTGTTCAGTTGTCAAAATTATCACCTTTCTAACATTTTCACCATTCATTAATTTTAAATAATTTATCTGTCAATGATGGCATTTGGACCTAATCTCTCTCTCTTTTCTTTACAACCAGTAGCCACAGGGGAACTTAAAACCCCATGTAATTTTACAAAGGGCTTTCATATTGATACCTGAAATTGAACCTAAATTTGAACTTAACTCAAAGGGAATAACCAACCTTAAATAATCGATGGTCCTTACAAATTAAAAATATTGTTATATACAAATTTAACTTTGTTATTTAGAAGCAATTTTACACATATTTTTGGCTGAAAGAGCAGTGTACAATACAAAAATTCATTATACAGAGAAATTTGCTATATAGAAGTTTGTAATACGGAAGTCTGACTGTATATACAGATGGTTTTCCATGAACAAGAAAACTGTTGTGGAAGTTATGAAACAATAAAACTTAATGGGAGAAGAATGTTAGTAGTCAATTAATCAGGCATTGTTAGTCGGTACTGATATTGTCACTTGAAACAAAATTTGTTGCTTTAGATTTGAATTCTTTTATTAGGAATCTTTTCAATTTTTTTTTAATATTCTTGGCAGAAAGTCAATGATGATAAAAAAAAAATTTGAATTTATGTGACCCCATAAAAAATTGACATTCCCATTTGGGGCTGGGACCTCATGTTTGGGAACCACTGATCTATAAGATAAGTATTTTAAATTTAGATTTTTTTTTAATTTAATGAAATTTGTTTTCCTTCACTTTATACAAAATTTCAGAAAGAAGAAAACATGAATGAAATACAATTATGAACCAAATAATGAAAATAATAAAATAAATAAATGCATAAGCAAAAATTAAAGTTCTAGACTAAAGAAAATATTATATTAACATTATAATAGATGACAAATGGCAATGAAATTGATGAAGCAAAAACAATTTTCCAAAATTTCCAAATTTTGAATATTAGTAAATATTAGTAGGGAAAAAAAGAACTGTAAAAATATAGAATTAGCATAATCTAACAATAATAATAAATGTCATTATTATACAACATATTCTTTGAAATATTTTCATTTATATTTGTAATATAGAGATATGATATCAGATTTATTTTGTGGTAAAATCCAGTTTTATTATCAAACTGATTTTATTTTAACTGAGAATCTATGTAGATTCTCAGTTAAAATAAAATCAGTTTGATAGTACTGGATTAATAATTTTAGTAGAGTTTGTTATTATTATTATCATCATCTGACTATTAGTTTTTATAAAATTAAGATAGTATTAATATAGTTATATATTAAGCTGTCACTACTATGTCTCAATTGTTTTAAGATTAAAGATAATTATTAATAGTCAATAAATGCACATGTTTTTGAAGTATGCAATTAAAAGCACAAAAGAATGATTTAAATTTTACACTTATTTTGTAATCACTAGATTTTATATGATAATTAAACAGTCTTTTGTTATTTGAAATAACAAAGTACCATAAAAACCATATTAAACCATAAACCATATAAAAGTTTCTACATAATTTTAACCTATCCTAATATTAATTTTCTGTTTTAAATAGCAAAATATTCTCTACATGAAATTTTGTAATGTTTGGTAATTAAGATTTAAAATCTGATTAACAGTTTTTTTAATATTTATTAAAACTGAAAAAGTTTATAATTCAGTATCATGTTGTATAAATTCTTTAAGAAAATATAATTAAAAGTTGCACTCCTAAATTATAAATATATTTGAAAATCTTTGAATCTTTGAAATATAGTTTTTATGACCAAATTGTATTATTATGAAAATTATAAGAAAGGTATTAGAAGAGATTATTATTAATTAATTTCATTTTTTTATATTTAGGAATTAATGACTGATTCTGATTCTCCCTTGAAAAGTTTTTACCCAGAAAACTTTAAAACTGATTTAAATGGAAAAAGTCAAGATTGGGAGGCTGTAGTGTTAATTCCTTTTATTAATGAGGTAAATGTAATATTAATATTTGAATATTTTATTCAGAAACTATAACTTTTTCCTTTTCTTAGAAATTATTATTAGAAAATACTGAAAAAGCTGATAAGTTATTAAGTAAAGAAGAAAAGAATAGAAATAAGCATGGACCACATCTGTTGTATACTTATTCGAAACGGAGTCAAGGTCTCTATAAATCACCTCAGCCTGATATGTTTTCAGATGTTGTTAATCATTCTCGGTAAGAAAGTTTTAGATTTTATATTATTTTTATTCTTAAGTCAAATTTTTGTTTATTAATATATACATTTATTAATATTTATTATTTAAATAAAATATTTATATTTCCTTTGAAATAAATGTATTCATAGTGTTATAATGAAATATTGTGATTTCTCTATCATCTCCAAATACAGTATATTATTTGGTTGTAGTGATTTTAAATAAAAAAATGCTGAATTTTATTAATTCATTTCAAAATGAACAATGGATAAATTAAATGTAAAATTATGAAAAAATTAAAATATTTTATTAGCACTAAATGAACTTTTAATTGAAAATAAACAAACATTGTTAACTTGTGATTAAAATCAAATATATTGATAATCTTTTAACTTAATCCTAGTATAAAAATTAGTTAAATAAAAAAATTTATTTATTTGATATTATTGACATCCAAAACTTTTGTATAATAAAAGTTTTTATTTTGTTTTTGAAATAGTCTAAGTTTGCTTTTCTGTTCTTAATAAATTTTTGTAATTACATACAATTATATACTATGTAAAGATACCCTGTAATTATACAATATTATGAAAGTATTAAACCTTTTCAGTTCTATAGGAATTTTGTGCAGGAATGGACAATACAACTAAATTTAGAATGTTGTTAACAATATAAATTTATTTATTTTATTTTTGTAGTTGTGTGGAAATAGATGGAAATCATTTTAGGTTACCGGTTGAAAAAATTAAGAAAGGTTTATTGGCAAATACAAACAAAGATGTGTATACTCTTGGGTTTCCCACCTTTAAACATATTAAGCATACTGTAAGTAATAATTAAGTATTTTTTTAATTGAATGAAATTCTTTTTATATAGTTATACAGAATTAATGTAAGACTTTACAATTGAAAAGATGAAAATTAATCAATATCATTACATATATATTTATTGCCCATATATTATATATTTAGTTTACATGCACAAAAAAGTTATTGATAGATTAAAATCAAACTTTTATAACAAATAATGTAAATATAAATTATATTTACATTATCATGTAAATATAATTTATATTTACATTATTTAATATTATACATTCCAATTTGTAATTGAATGTATAATATTAAATTAGTATAGAAATTATTTGCAAACAAACTTTTTCTGGTTTGATAATTTTAACAAATTTTAAAATGAAATATGCTTATTAGGCTGAATTGAAGAATGAGAGAATAAAAGTTTTTCATGCAGTTTCTTCTGGTGAAAACATGATAATTACCATAAAGAAAAAAAATAAAAAGGTAAATATTAAATTATTTTATAGTTTGTTTCGTGTAAGAAGAAAATTTGACATTAAATCTATAATTTAATAAATTAATCTTTAGTCTTATGAAGAATCAATAATTTACAGGAAATTTATTTTCCTTGTTTTTAAATTTCATAAAATGTTTGAAAACTTATTTCAGTCATGTTAGAAAAAAGAATTTCTTACTAAATGAAAATGTAAATGAATATATAAATATTCCATTCTGTATAATAAAGTTATCAGTATAGCAACTTAAGAATATCATTGAAATTTATTATAATGAATAATGTTTAAGTTTATTTATATACTTTTATTCTTTAGGAAATATCTTTATCTGAAAGGATATTTAATTTTGTTTTAAAATTTATTAGGATTTGGAAGAACTTGCACAAGAATTAATTGGAAAAAGTATATTTGTACGATGGCCTCATCTTGTTGAGGCATTAGTAGTTGATGTTTCGAATATAAATCAAAGGTTAGTAAAATTGTTAAATTTATAAAATATTTTATTAGCTATATATATATATATATATATATATATAACATCTAATTCAGGTAACCAAAATGATTACTAGTCTTTGATTTATTACTACAGCATCAAGAATTGGATAATTTAATACTTTGTTTCAATAATTAATAGTTTTAATAATCAGTTTTTAATTCATCTTCAATAGCCATAAGAAATTATTTTCAGATGATGTATAAAAGATTTTAGTAAATTCTAAATTTTAATTTATTAGTCAGTTTACATTGTTTTTTTAATTTTACTTTAAATATATTATAATTTGCATGTGATTATGATTATAGTACTGAATAAAATGTTTGTTTATTAATTAATGAGGATGTATGTTTGTTCCTTCCTTATACACTCCTAGGATTTTGACCAATTGCTATGAAACTCGGCAGTTAGGTACATACTTCTAACTCAAATAATGTCATACATCCCACCTCAAAATTTCTATTGAATTTTTGTAAATCAATTACTTTCTATCTACATTTGATTTGCTGATTTACATGTATTGCCATTTATTGAAAAAAATTTTAACAAAATAATAAACTAAATATAACTTTTATTAAAGAAAAAGATATAATTTTAAAAAGCATATATTACATTCACTTAATTACTGCAACAATGGTATAATGCAGACTTGCTATATCATTACTGAGACTGGTAGCACATAGGCACTTGCCTGCATAGAATTGAAAGTGTTATTCTGTGAAAAGTCTATAGTAGGTATATAAGTATTTAATTTTCCACATCTAACGACTTGGTTTTTTTTATTTCTGAACAGTACTTTCTTAATTTTAATAAGCACCCTCCAGTAGCCAAGTGCATAAAACCACTGAACTGTGGTAGTTAGTCATGGGTTTGGGCATGGCCAGTGGGTTGGGCATATGGAGTTTTCTGGGTATTCTTTACATTAGTAACACCTAAATAGGACATAAAAGTCTTCCCAGGATGCATCCCTTTGGTAGATTGCTCACATGTTGCATTGCTGTAACCAAAAAACCAAACTAATTCTAACAAGCAATTATTTATTATGGCATTGTCACATTGCTGGGCTGCAACTTTCTGTCATAATATTCTCAATTCTTTTAGTAGTGTCTTGCCCCTGTACAACATACTTTTCATGTTAGCAATAGTGTCATGTCGGTGATCTATCTAACTCTATCCAGAGGAAAATTTTGAATCAAAGTAACGTGACTTCCATTCTAAATCAGAAGTTTGTATATATATAGCCTGACCCTTTTGCCCCCAAGCTTTCCACATCTGGTCTTAACTTTCATCTATCTAATTCTGTTCTCAAGATTAAGGAAGGACAGACAGATGAGACAACAGTCAGAATTTATTGATCTACAATTTTTTCAAGTTGCAGCACATAATTTTTTTATAAATGTAATGTTTATGAGAACATACTTCCATTCCAAGTAGTTTATATCAACGGTGGGCAACCCCCGGCCCGCGGGCCAGTTACGGCCCGCGAAGAGTTTCTATCCGGCCCGCGAGATGTTTAGAAGAAATTATAAATAAATATTTTTCGATGTAATTCGTCTAGTTTAAATTGAATATTATTTTCTGAAGTGTTGCGGCAGCAATGACAGGAAAAAATAAGGGAGTCATTTCTTTATTCAAACAAAAAATGGGAGAACAGAATTTTTCTAAATTATATCTCATCGCATCATCCATCAAGAAAATCTATGTGCAAAAGCTATGCAATTAGAAAATGTAATGTCTGTCGTATCCAACTACATAGTGCTGTTTTTATTGTGTTTAAAGTCACTTAGATTTTACAAATAGGTGAGCCGTTCACAGCCCGGCACACGCATTTGTAAAATCTAAGTGACTCATACAACATGGAATTCATATAAAACGGAATAATCAACAGTGTTATAGGGGGGTCGACTGTAGTAATTAATTTATTTTTATTTATTTATTTATTTATTTCATATTTGCAGACTAAAAATTTACAGGTCACAAGGTGTCAATTAACTACTATGGCCCGCGGAAAAAACGTAAAATTTATTCTGGCCCATGTTATAAAAAAGGTTGCCCACCCTTGGTTTATATAATCTATTGTCAACATTTAAACTCTTTGTCATCACATAAAAGCAATTATTCTGGCATTTTTACAAGATTTTTGTATTTAAACAAGTTTTATATGTAGTCTTTTGGACTGTTAAGATTAGCAGCTTTGAACACATGGGGTCATCACAACCTATCCAACACAGATCACTTTTCAAATATTAATAGTAGACCAGTATTAATTATTTATCGTTGACCATCCTCTCTTCTGGGATGAAGTCAGTGTCTACTTTTGGTTCAAATTAACTTCTACTCCCTTCTGCAATAGTCCCTTCTTTATTGGACCAGTGGTATGGTGGCATTCAAATGGGAAAATTACATAATATGAGGTTACTGGTGGGCACAAAATATATTTTAAGTGGTTTTCAAGGGTGCTGAGGATAAATATTGTTCTGTTTTGTTGCAAAATTTGATTGGTTGGCAGATCACCATTTGATATTTGGCTGTGAATGGAACAGTTTCTTAGAGTTAACGTTAGGAAAAATTTGATACCTTAAATTTTTTAAGATATATTTTCAATTGGTGTCTACTTGACCAATGAAATTATGCTATTTTGTACCGTCTGAGTATCACGATAAATGTGACAATGGTAAGCTAAAATAACCAAACTTTATGATTTTTGTTTTAATGTTTGTTATATTATAGTATTTGATTTATATAACTACAAAGATTATCTTACATAAGGGTTTATCACACCAAGTGACTAATCTAACACATTTTAAAAATTCTTTATTTTTGTACTGTACACAATTTAAAGAATTTTGTACAGTACAAAAATAAATAAATGTGTTAGATTGGGCACTGGGTATGATAAACTCTTACATAAGGATACCCTTTGTAAATATAAATCAAATACTATAATATAATGTAACAGAAGAGTTTGAAGTATGAAATAATCTTAATCTTTGCTGCTGTTAGTTTTTGCCTGAGCAACACCAGGCTTATCTTCTAGTTATTTATATTTTAATATAGTAGAATTTATTGTAATAATAAATTATAAATTTTTATTTAACAGATTTTATATATTTGAAAATAAATCAAAAAAATCTAGTGTAAATGAAGAAAATTTAACAGAATCTGATCAGAGTCAATGGCGCAAGGAATCTGAAAGCATTGTTGATAGGTATATTTTTTAAATTCATTTAATTCAAAAACATATTTTTTAATAACTGTTTTCATATATTATTTGTTACATTGAATTTAAACAATATGTTATAGCCAGTTTTAATGGATCATTTAAACATTATTAATTCATATTTTAAGATTATTTGTTTTTAATTGAATGAAATTCTTTTTATATAGTTTACATAAATATAAAATGATTTTTAAAAAATATATATTTTTAAGTATACAGTCGACCCCCCCCCTATAATTACAGTCCCTATAATTACGATTCCTATAAAACTATGAAAAAATATACGTATTTTGGAAATGTTGAGTCGGATTAGTGTAGAATCGATTAATTTTATGGAAGAAAACCTTTCAATCAGCCGTAGTCCGTAAACTTGACACGTGTCGGGCTGTGATTGGAACGACTTGTAAGAAATCGGATTCCTAATAAATTGGAACGTATCTATATCTTATAGGGGGGTCGACTGTATAGTATTTTACAAAATTTTATTTTTTGGCATAATTAATACAAGAAACCATTGCTGTTTATGTAAACTTTAATTACATATTTGTACCATATTTCCTTGATTCTAAGAGATGCTTTTTTACCCATGTTTGCTTGTCTACATTAGTAATGTTGATTCTTAGAATCAATAACATCTTACATTTACAGTCCAGAACAGCAGTTGGTCATTGAATGCAAACCATGCAATGCATTATGCACTAATTTTTGCCTATAATGACTTTTGCTTATATTGCTTAACAGTCACATCAATTCTAATGGACTTAAAGTGTTTGAGTTTTTGGTAATAAGTGTTTTATTTAAGTGCTTATTTTATGTTTAAGATGTGACATTATTATTCACATTACTCAAATTTTAAGATTGTATATTGTATATTGTATATACCAGGTGTGGCCAAACTTTTATCCCTTAGGGGCTACTTTTTTGGTAAAATATAGTCTGTGGGCGACTATGAATATGGGCAAACAATTTTAGGATTTTTATATGCGCATACATTAACATTCATTTGCATTGTTCATCGGGATAAATACAAACAGTATGGGTACATTGCACAGACAGTCTATTATTGTAAGAATAAATTATTGAATTAAGATTTTTAAACATTAATTTAAGTGAAAGCAAATTGTTCAACTTAGCTTTGCGGGCTACTTTCAAAACCTTTGCGGTCGACTGTGGTCTACATGTTGGCCATCCCTGGTCTATACATTGCTTTACATTGATAGTGACCCATTCAAAATGTGAATGTATTGAGGCAGTAATCAGAAAAAAAGACAGACATACTTGTAGATATAATTTCATTTCCTTTTTAGCCTATTACAATCAACAGAAGAGGTTAAAAATCAGAACAAATCAATTTCAGTAAGGATTGTACTGTTGATAATACAATTTGCACATGATATGGCATAATGTCTGGACGTCATTCATACAGTCTATGAATGACGTCCAGAGAAATTATAGACTAGGTATAATTTGATTCTAGGCAGTCTACAGTAGAGTGCTGAACTCATTTTCAATTACTGTACAGTATATCCTAAAAATTCTTTATTGGGGATAATTTGGCAATCTTGCTAGTGATGGAGGCAGCTTGACATATTGTAGACTGTTTAGAATAATGCTAATGCTGTGCATACAAGCATTATCATGTTGGAAAATGGGATTTTGTATGCCTTTAGGGAAAATTAACAAAACTAAATAGCCTTGTCAATATGTTGGACTGTCACTGTTTCCATAATGTGTGAAAGATGATCTGTTGTCTTGTGAAATGGCATTATTCTTGTTTGGTGAGCAATAGACCAATAAAAGCTAGATTGTTCTTCTGGCCAGATTGGTGCCATACACAAATACCTTGGTCATCTGTACTCATACAGAAATGGATCTTTTGGAGAAGTGGGTGTATCAAAGATGATATTCTAATCTTGTCTTCAGTTTGAATGATTTAAGCATAAAGCAAGATGAGTTTACAGAGGGTCTGCTGTCAATTGTAGTTAACACAAAGATTGACAAAAATGCATATTTGTCTCTCTCAACCTTCAGTATACTGGGATTTGGATGTTCATTGAAACTGATACCACCTATCAAATACTTGCTGCAAAGCTTTCTGATGCCAAGAAAACTTTTCAAAAAATATGCCTATCAGGTTATTTTCATATGAAAAGGACAGCACTATTCCCAGAAAAAATATATGTCATTGGAAAGAAAAATTCAAAAGAAATCAAAAAAGCCAAATTGAACAAAGCAGATTGTATAGACCACGAGGAAGCAGAGCAAATCAACACCAGTACAAATACTTTGTGTGCACTGCCACCTGAACCAATGGATTGGTTCCTGAACCAATTGTTACTTATTATTCTAAAATTTACTGTTATTTAACAAAATTTAATAAAATTTATCATTTAAAAATTTTTCCTCCTCAAAAAATCTTAAAATTTGATTTCCAACTAATGGTAGATTTCAGAATTAAGGAAGTATGTGTATATTTAGGTATGAATATATATATACAAGAATCAGTAGTAATTTATTATTTTGAATTGTCTTCTAAGAGTATGACCTATCTGAGATTGACAATGCTGTTAAAATAATAATTGAATAGAAAGGATGAATGTTTGGAACAGTTAAAATTGAATTCTTTTTATTAATAAAAAACTTTTCAATCAAAACACTAATGAAATAAGACAAAGAACAATATACAGTAGAATCTTGTTTTAATGGATTGCAGAATAATGGATTTTTTTCTAGTTCTGTCTTCAGTAAACATTTTATTTTTTTTCAGCATTTAATTAATAATTGAATTTTTCTGAACACTAAATTAAAAATAAATATATATATATATATATATATATAAACTATGCACATAATCATCACAGTCATCACTGCTAACATTGCAGCCACTCATTAGTACTCTCCTGTATCACATTGATTAGTGTCAAGCTGAAAGTAATTTCAGCTTGACACTTCCACATATACACATGTCTGAAACAAACATATGGCAGCTTGGGAATATCACACCTTGAAATCATGCTTGCATAACAGTAAAATTTTGTACTGACAATGCCATCAAAAGAAGCTCAGAAATGTTGTGTCATCACCTTGAAAGAAAAAGTAAGAGTGTATGGTACTGCAGGCTAGATCTGTAATCTTTGTCATGTCTAGTGTTTTCTTCTTGCAGACATAAAAGTTCAGCTTTGTAATCTCATATTGCAGTCTTTGTAAATCCAAATCATACAGCAGGTTGAAAGCAATCCTCAAACAAAACAAGTTGATATTGTTAAGCCATTTAATCTTCCTACACACAGTCAATACGATTTTTTAAAAAAAAGAGATTTTATGAGAAAGCAAAATATCTGATGACTCAAAGTGTAACAAGATTAGGAGTGGCAAAATCAAGGAACTCTTAATCTATTTTAATCAAGTGGATTTGTCAAGCACAAGCGGCAGGTATTAGCATTGATGGCACTTTTATTTTCCAGAGAGATATTGTGACAAAAATGGGAATTTAGAAAGAATTTACTGCATTGAATGGGGGTGGCTTGTGAAATTCAAAGAGAGACATGGTTTAGTATACAATACTATAAGCAGAAAAAGCAAGAGTGTACACACAGTAGCCTTCAAAATATGGAAATGAGATCAGCTCCCAAAAATTTTGGAGATATATGACCCATGAAACGTCTTCACTTGTGATGAAACAGGTCTTTTTATGACATAATGCCAAATAAAACTAACTTTTAAGGGAGGAAAATAGCAAGGCAAGAATAATGGTTAACGAAGATGGTTCTCAGAAATATCCCTTACTTGCTATCAGAAAATACAGAAATTTGTTGAATTTATAGAATTCAATTTTACTCTTGTTACATCTGGGATGTGTACAATTGAAGAATTGTATGAAGAGAATCAGCAGGCTGATAAGATTGAAGAGACGCCACCTGTTGAACATTTTCATGCTGGCCCAAGCGAGGCCATCATATCTTTTCAAGTTGCAAAGACCTCCCTGATAAGCTTTAACATAAACGAACAGGGTGTACCATAACATTGCTAATATTGAGCAGTTGTATTCAATGGGCAGTAAAGCATCATCAAAACAAACCAAGATGGACATGTTTTTTAACATATCATGAAGTGCTGACGATCATAAGTATATCCATTATCCAAAGATGTAAAGTACACTTTGACTCTTTTTGGCTTATAATGTGTACAGTTTCTATCAGCTTTGTTACACACATGTATGGCATAATGTACAATCTTGTATTATATGTTTTTATATAAAACTAGCTTACCCATCTCACATTGCTGCGATCTCAGAAGAAATGAAATTCAAGCAAATTCATTATGATAAAATTAAATTTACATTTTATCATTTTTATTGAAACTTATTATTATTATATTATTATTATTATTCATTTTCATTGGGAAAACATTTCAAAGTGTCGTTTCAATTCTATTTATTTATTGGAGTGCTTGTGGATACGCGATATTTTTTGTGTTTCTGTCTGGTGAAGGTTTTCCGACGCATGAGCTGGCCACATACAGTTGTACATGCAAGAAGCACAGATTCTTTAAATTTAGCCCACATACTCGCAGAGATTGTTAGAAGTGCGATATTCCCCATTTTTATATATATTTTTAAATCCTTTATAATTTTGATTATTTAATTGCTCCTTCCTCTCTTCCTTGGCATGTTGTGAAATTTCTGATAGTTGGATAATAAACTGTTTTACTATAATTTGTCTTTTTAAAATTATTTTGAGTCGATATTAAAATTTGGAAAAGGGGGATCCCTAGATCGGTAAAATAGGCGAATTTCCTCCTACGACTTCGGTTGTTGTTCGGGATACAGTTAAGGTTTTAACAAAGTTTGAGAGAATACGTAATTAGCAAAAAAAAGTTGAAATAAAGTGATTAAACAAAAATTATTACAAATATCATAAATAACAAATGCATATATAGAGATATTTTTTGAAGGAGGGAAATGATCTTCACAATTTGAAATCGATCAAACACACAGTAAAATGCTCGTATACACGTGCACCTTCTATTGTAGAATAAATGTACTATGCCAGAAACCTTCACAGGAGTGTATTAAACAACTTCCCAAAGTTTCATGGCAATTGGATAAACAGTGTGGTAATGCATGAAGGACAGACACACAGACATACATTCATTTTTATATATATAGATAAAGGATAGAAATCTCAAGAGATTGAATAATTTCAAGTATGGGTGTTTCTTATATGTAGGGGGTTAAAAATGGAAAATTTTTAAAATGAATATTTTCCTGGAATAGTGGGAAATTTATTCATGATTATAGTACTGAATAAAATGTTTGTTTATTNATAGAAATCTCAAGAGATTGAATAATTTCAAGTATGGGTGTTTCTTATATGTAGGGGGTTAAAAATGGAAAATTTTTAAAATGAATATTTTCCTGGAATAGTGGGAAATTTATTCACAATATAATGAATTTTCAGTATAATGGATGATTTTGGCACCCCAAGCAATCTGTTAAAACAAGATTCTACTGTAAATTTTATATATTGTATTTTAATTCAAAATTTAAATATGATGTATTTTTATTTTCATTTGTAAAAATTTATTATGCTTTATTAATAAAATTGAACTTTATAATTTATTTGAGAGATATGCTTAAAAATATTGTTATTGTTGGAACTTTCCAAAGTGAATTAGAAATTTGTCATGATGTATTTTTCCATTCAGTTAACATGATATTCAAAAAGTTTTATCATTTTAGAAGAAAATAAATAAAATCTTAAATTAATATTACTATTTAATAAAAATGATCTTTTGCTGTTATATGTGTTGTATTATCTTTGTTATTAATTCTTAAATAAAAATATAAAAATTTAATAATTTTTATAAAAACACAAATAAACCAACCAAACTTCATACAAGAATATATGAAGAAAAGTCATACATGAAGTCCAATTAGTTTGTGTTTTTTATACAGTTATTAAGTTTTCTGCATTTGATGTATTAATTAATTTATAGAAACAATGATTTAAATATTAAAAAAATCATATAAAATAATTATGTAAATTGTTGTTATGTTACAAATGCATTTTTTAATTATAATATTTATTTTTAAAAAAATAACATATAATTTAAATTTTTCAGACTTTTTGAACGATTTGGAATCATTGTAGGTGAAGTTGAAGTAATTGTTAAAGCAAAACTCTTAACAGGCAGAAAGTAAGATCATTTTATAATTATATAAAATATAATCAAGAAAGTATTTTATTTCATTATTGTACACACCTCAGTTTCTGAATAAGAAAATTTAGGAATGGGGAAAAATTTCTGATGAAAGATTATGTTAAATTCATTTTTAGTTTAATATCACTTTAAATAAATAATATTTAAGCTTTTTAGCAAGTTGTTTTTCTTGTATTGCTATTCATATTGCATGATTTTAACTAAAACTTTTTGATTCAATCTGAAATTATATATTTTACTATAAAATAATGTATATCAAGTATTGTCACAAGTACCTCACTTAAAGTTGTCGATAAGTTCTTGGAAACTATGATATTAAATGAAACAACACATAACGTAACCAGTTTTACCATAGGCTAAATGATATAACAGTATGTCTGACAGACCTGGAAACTGGGAATATCCAGGAAATCTTATGGAATTTATCAGATCAGTGAAAAGTTATGAAAAACTCAGGGAATTTGATATTAAATGTAAAAAAAAGGTAAAAAAGTTATTTTTTTCAAGAGCATATAATGAATCCTATGATGGAAAATAAAAAGACAGAAGTGATTTGAATGCATGTCATTGTGTCACGTGACATGCATGATTATCTAAAATTATCTTTAAAAATAATGTATAATGGATGTATGATAAATAACAAATGTAAATTATTAAATTGTTAAAATAACCCCCTGTAACAAGGCTTGCCTTAATGCAAATAAAAATATTATCATCATCATCTAAGATTATATCATGCATGCTGATTACAAATTTAAGTTATAATAATTACTAATATTTACTCTGTTTCAAAAGTTTCAAGAAAGTACAAAATTTGAATTATGTGGCTTTAAATTGTTTTATGTAAAAATCTAGTTTTTTCCAATTGTAAATAGCTTATTTTTAAGGGTTGTCTTGTGGGTTTCACTAAAAAACAGTTGGAAACCCTAGTATGAGAAACGCGGGTTCTAGGGGATTGTCCCTAGGAACCATTTACTCGACAACAGTCTGCAAAGACCACTCATGTTGTCGTTTTAGGTGGCTAGGAGGGAAAAAACGAGTGGGAAGTGCGTCAGTAAGACAACAGGTGTCTTTCTGACAATATATAGACAGGTTGACAGGTTTAACAATAAACAAAGAATTTATTAAATGTCTAAAGCTAATATACAGGTAGGTGATACAAGTTCAAAGGTTACATGTGGTTAAATAGCGATTACAAAATATAATATTCACCAAGACTGGCAACTAGTCTCTACGCTATATCGCATGCCTAATTTCTATGTATCACAGAGATAGAGTTCCCAATTTGAGCTAGCAAATACCTCTCAATGGACTTGGAGAGCTGTATGTGACACCCTACTTCCATAGAAAGATTGATCAAGTCCTGGATGTCTTCTACTGTTATTCTGGGAGACCAAGATGGATACTAAGACATAACTTTCTGAGATGAATTATGTTGCGCTTTTGATTGCCCGTGCTTTTATGTCATTAGCGTGGGAGATGAGTCTGTTGTTTACATTCCAAGTCGCTGGTGTGCAATCCCTTGCAATTTTTGCCACGTTGTTTCATAATGGACCGATAGTCTTTTGCAGCAATCTGTCAACTTTTCCATGTACATGTTGACAACCAAGGTGACATCCAAGCTGATATTATTTACTAGTTTTTCTTGTTGGTGGATGTTTACATTAAGCTCTTGAAAAACTAATTCAATAGTTACAAATCTCTAAAAATTTGGCTCGTAAACCATCGGGATCACACTAGCTAGCAGTCAATTTCTTTTGGAAATGAGATTATAGAGATGGTGTTCAATTGCAACACAGTTTCGAAGCCAAGCAAATGGTATGTAGAATCGGCTTACACTTCAGTAATACTTACAATTTATAGTGATTGAAGGATTAGGACTGTGACTGATTCCTAATCAGTCACAATTTCAACTAAAAGCCACTATTTTTGTTTATCACTATTTTCACAAAGTGTTGCTAAAAGTCTCCTTTGGAAAGGTGGTAGTGATATATTTATTCAGTTTTAATGTGCACCCTTTTTGACCTTTTGAGAGCTGAAAAATGAAGTGTGCATTATAAATGAGAAGCTCAGAAGCAAAACATGTTAAGTGATATTAGTATTGTTTACAGTATTGTAGCATGTTAAACCTGTTAACTATAATTTGAATAGATTTCACTGTGGTTAATTGATTTTACATCATTTGAGTGTTCCCATCTATCAAAACTTCAGTGATTTTAATAGTGAATTTATTTAAAGTATTTAATTTTTTAGTTAAAGTTCCTATATTATTACATTAGAGAGAATTTATTAAGTAAATTCGGAAATATGTAAATTATTGCCTATGCGGAAAGGATTTTTTTTATTTGTTAATTTAAGATACTTCTATGCAACACCAAAGACCCGGATCGTGTCTTAATTATGATATCCATGTGAATTGCATTTTATGATAAATATAAATATTCATATTCATTGATAAGTTTCTTGTTTGCAATGCGCAAAACATTATTCACCATTATATATCGTGCTTAAATATTCGGCTTTAATTCGGTTAAATTTAAACATTTTTAATACCGATTCGTTTGGCAAATCTTCATGGCGATGACGTAAAAGGAGAAAGGCCAATCAATAAATAAAATTTTAAAAATTAAACAACTGCTGTGTTTACTTTAGCCGACACGCGAGGCGCCGTCGTCGTTTCTGACGTATAAGGAGGCATTTTTTTCAAAATAACCAATAATCGAGGAATTTAAATAATTGTAGATAGGATTATTAACCAATAGAAGAGGAGATTTGTTGGTTGTAACGTGGTGTGTTCTAGAAATCTATTCTGTTAAGAAGTTTATATTACTTTTTATGGAATATTTATTAAATTCGGATTTAAATACGAGCGCCACGTTACTTTGAATATAAACTAGCGGGTTAAAAGTTTTATATATTATTTCGTAAATGCTCACACAAAAATTAGCTACAGAATAGGTAAATCGAGGAATTATTCGAGAGGTAGCTATTTTGTTTAAAGTACAATTGATCTTTGCACCAGCAGCGAAGTGTGAGGTCATAATACATCTTCCGTTAACGTAAAATTACTCCAGATACAGTTTGCGATCGGTTTCTTCCCGTAACGAATTAGCGACGAACCCGATACTTTTTCGAGATGTTATTTCCTACGCGCGTTTATACACGAGAATCAAATGAACAGTATCCGGTGACCGGTTACAAAAATATGTCACGGGTTCAGTTCATTAGCAGGTAAGTTGTTTGTTTACCGTTAAGTAATAAAAAGAAATTTAAAAAATGCTCGAATGAATTCTTATTCGTCCGGAAATGGTTTTATTGTCGGATACGTGACTAAGGTCGTTACGGTACGAACCAAAAAAATAAATAAATACTCTGTCAGTAAAATGCCGTGTTCGTTAAAGTCGCGACTCGGAGAATCGACCTTACGCCGTAACGTGCGGTACGTAGATTTAAATTAAATTAAACGATCTACAGCGTAACGTATCGGTCGAGGGTTGGAACCGTCGACTTCCGCCATCAAATTTCTAATTTCTTAGTCGTTTCGATCCGCAAACGTCCAACGGATTCGACATTTAAAATCGGAAATGGAACCGGACAGAACCGCCTCCGTTCCGAGTAATTGTTATTAATTTACATTGTTACGGACACTTCTATCCGTTAAGTGTACATTCTTGTTCGAGTTAACAACTGTTACCATCAATTTTATTCTCTCGCATTTAATCGAGAGAATAAGTCCCATCCGGAAGTTCAGAAAAAAAAAAGTAGAATTAAAAAAAACACTTTTCTGGTATTTTCCGCTCGACTAAATAATACTAAACTTCGGTAGTTAACGCGACGGGAATGTGCTTTGGGGGGTTTAAATCGATCAAACGAAATTCGGTCCAGCGGCAGCTGCTTTTTATCATTCCGGACCACACGCGATAGTCCGGACGGATGTTTATTCCAAAAAAAGTCTAACGAAAACACCGAGCGCGCAAGTAGAAAATTTCGAACGTCACGCTCGATTGTCCGATAGAATTTCGTTTAATCTAACCAACGGCGTTAGCGACAGAGTGTTTTTTTGAAGTGAGTAGAAAACTGCACTGATTTTTGGTGTGTTCTTTAATTTGAATCGTCTAATTACAAACATAACAGATACGATAATGTACACGAAACGTAATATTACAAAGAATACCAAACTTTGCACACATTCCGAAGCAAAATCTTCCCGATGGAAGACGGGATGTTCCCTTCCTGCCGTTTTTTTTCGCCTAACGTCGATACCGATCTTCTCCGGATGTTACGAAATTAAACCGGGAAAGGCGGGGTTTGTTTTTTTTAATCGATTAGAATTTAAATGGATGGTCTCCGTCGCGGCGACGAAACTTTAAGAAAACGTGCGCGAGCTTCGTTTCCCGTATCGCTCGGTGGCCGCGACACTGTGCTTTGGGGGTTGAAAATATCGCTCTCGACAATTTCAGTTCGGAAATTAGGATCTAAAATTTTTTCCTCGTTCAGTAGATAGGAATTATCTCGCCGATCGATTCGGATTTTTTATATAAAATATTTTTAACAATAAATAATAATAATAACAACAACAACGAACGACACGGCCAATTCGCGAATTGTCAGAGTCGAGCGCGATATCGCGTCTCGTGCTGATGGGTGCCACGCGACGTCGCGTCGGTGAATTTAACGTTGGTCAGGAAGGTGGCGGAGAGAAGATCCTGCCCCGACGCATCCCAAAATATACACGATTTCGTTTACGCAGCGGGTGTGAAGACGGGGAGGAAGACGTCCGCGTGCGGTGCTTCGTTATTACAGATATGTATATATAACAATAATAATAATATCCAAGGGGCTATACATCCGCAAAACAAACGCACGTTAAATTTAACGGTGTCGACAAACGATCAAAGCTTCATCTCATCGACTAACTAGATAGGCTTTTTATGTATATATATATGTAATGTATCGCGTACGTGTATGTATATAATGTATGTATGTATATGTATACTCGGGCGGGAGAGAAGGCCGGCACCCCGGAGGGCGCCAGCAGTCTCGGCCGCCACCATACACAAAGCGATTTTTACGTTAACGATTTCGGAAATGGTCCTGCGCGCATCCTCCTCCGACACGACGCCAAAGACGCGTCGTCTATCCCCTTTCGTAAAAGGCACAAATTCAGCTTCGAAGTGGTCAGAAATCGAGTGTGAAGACTGAGCAAAAAAAGAATTTCCGTAACGACGCGTCCCTCCGGCCCTCCCCCACCGGCTACTGTATGACGCAACAACGGCATTTGGGTTTCTTCTTGATGGTCACCTGTTCCACCTGCGAACCGTCGGACGGCGGAACCACCAAACCGTGCTGAACTTCCACCACTCCCGGTTTGGCCGTTCCGTTCGCGGATGGCTTGTGCGACGATCCCAGAGTTCCGTTGGCCGGATGCCGCGTGGCCGCCGGTTCCTCGGCTATGGGCTTCCCCTCCTTGATCATGTTGACGATGGTCTCCGCCTCTTTGCTCAGTTCTCCGTCCGGTCGGAACGGGTTGTCCACGCCGCTGTCCGTGCTAGACGGTGGGAAGAAACGACAAAGTGTTCAGCTCCCGGCAGACTTAGCGACAAGCTCGCGACGCGGCGGCTCACTTCTTACCTGGCGCGATGCGGGTAGGCGTTCGAAGACATGACGACCGGCGTTCCGTTAACCAAGTCGACGGGTACGTCTCCCGATTCCGGCGTGGATACGAAATGAGGCTTTTGGCATTCGTAGAAGGTCACGCGCACTTTAGCCGGTGGCTTCAGACTCGATTCGTCTCTGCGGGAAAAGAAATGACAAAGTTAATACCGGAGGCCCGGGAAAACCGTGACTTCCGCTTCCACCCCCGGCCGGGTCTCCACGGACCGACGGACTCGAGAGCAATAAACGAAAGGAGGGATGTGGGTCGGGTATTTCCGAACGCCTTTGGTAATAAACAAACGCCGAGGTCGGCATTTCGTATCTATAACTTGCCGCTCGACATATTTTATAAACGTAAACACGGAGTTTGGAGGTTTTCCAGGCGTCTCTCCCCTGATTTATCGGTTTTCTACCCGAGATGCCGGAAGTGGACGGTCCGACGCTCGCCCGACCGGTTTCCGGGTGGGAACCGCGGCTCGGGGTTTTCGGAGCGGTAAGCGGGGAGGCGGTGGTACGGGGGAGGGTCTTCTCGGAAGGATGAAAATTGGATAATTTGCCGTTTAACTACTTAAAACGTGTCTAATTAGAACGGCAGGAAATGGCCGGAGAATTAAGAGCCCGCCGACCGGACTTACTCCGCGCCGCGCCGCACCCCCGATTCGAGTCGGAAGAGAGGGACGACCTCTCCGTTAAGAGGAGAGACCTCCAGAATTAATCGCGCTGACTAAAATCCCTCGTGGCCCACCGCGCCGAAAACGTATTAAACACCGGGTCGATGCCCTCGGAATAAAGGCTTTTTAGTCCTTAGAATGAGATTATTCTGCCGTGTCGAGAATTCCGGTTAATACTCGGGTTTAACGGGATTAACTGCCGGTGGAAATTTCGAAAATTTCGGGTGGCGCCACTTTAAAATCCCGTTTTCTCTCGGGCGGACCCGGGAGGAGGAAAAGCGCGCGACCCGGTGGCCCACAAACCAGTCCCCGGTCGCGCCACCGCCGCTCGGCGGCCGAGTTAAATGCCGATGCGTCGCGACGCCACCGTCCGTAAAAACGGTGGCGTGCCGGCCCGCAGTCGGACGCGGCGGTTGCGGATCCGTGGCCTTTCCCTTCGCATCCGAACCGTCTTCCAACTCGGCGGCTTTCCGGGGCGGGGGAAACTCTTCCCGCGGTTCGGCCGAGGGGAGACGATGCGACGCGCGCTTCCGGTCGAAAATCCACGGCCGTTGATAATGGCGGCCAGAATCGGCCGTCGTCGCGGCGTCGCGTAAGGTATCCGCGCCACCCGCCACTCAAATAGAAACAGACGACAAACTCCGGCTAAAAAAACACGTCGTTTATTTTGGAAGCGACATTGGCGCTTCAAGGTCACCACGTGGTCTACCGGGCGTTACGTAAGGACGGATCTTCTCTTAGCTTCTAAAATGGCGCATTTGGAAAGCTTTCAAATTAGTATGCGTGTCCGAACGCCGTAAAAAAAGTCCGAGGTCGGAGCGACAGGAAAAGTTTGGTCGCGTCTTCTCTCGCGGCCCGGTCGAAGTCAGCTGTTTTCGCCCGGTCGACTCCCAGCCGGAGGCGGCGCCCCGGCAGGGCCCAGGGACCCGACAGCGGGGCTCCTCCTGGGGGCCCGCCCATCTACTTACGGGCTCTGCAGAGGATCTTCGACGGACTTCATCGTTTGCCGTCCGGCTTCGTCGACGCCACTTCTCCCGCCGACTGACTAACCACCTGACGTAATCGTCGCCGGCAGCGAAGCAGCATGGGATACGTCGAACCGGTACCGGAGCGCGGGAAAAAACTAGTCGCTCGTCCCTCCTACGGCCTCTGGAATGCGCGCGTTTTTTCCTCACTTCTGGCGCTTTCGGAACGGGAACGGCGCCCTCCTTCCGTTTATCTCCCCGTCGCAGCTAGATTTTCCTTCGTACTCGCTTTCTACCGCGTACTTTATAGGCACGCCGCCCGCGACGACGTTTCGGCGTGACTTTCCCCCTCCCGCGGCGCCGAACGCGCGCGCGTCCGAGCGAAGCCAGTCGAAACGCGGATTACCTCGGCGATCGGTCTAGCGGAACTCTTCGAGATGGACCGAGGAAACAAAACAAAAAAGTAAAAAACAACTAACCTCCCCTTCGGTGGAAACGACCTTAACCTGGCTTTTGCGACATTCCTCTAGAAGCGGAATGGTCGCTGTCGTCGTTCTAGTTTCGCTCCGGGTTCGACGCACCGACGTTGGAGTGGAAAGAGCGATGACGTCGCCGATACGGAAAACGGACGGACGACGGACCGTAGGCGAACAATAGCCCCTCGTTCCGTTAATAGAAAACGAAGGCAAAGAGGTCGAAGGTGGTACGTTACCATCTACGTAAGTGTGTCGCCGAGTGAGCGACTTCTCGCTTCTCGCGTCGCGTCTAAGCGCTTACGTCCGCGTCTGGCAGCCTTCCAGGATGAAATAATCGGGCGCTCCGCAATCGCCAGATTACGAAAGCCGCGTAACTCTCGGAGAAGAGGAGGAGCGCGAATTTAGAAATGAAAAAAAAGCCCTCCCGTTCGAGAGGGACTCGTTTACCTATTCGAGAAGATCGTCCGTCCACTAATTATTTCGCGCTGCGGAAACTGCCGGGTGCGGATATCTCCTCGGAATCTCGTCTTCTGCCTTCTTTGAACGAGAGTAAGGCGCACCGGTCGTTTCGGCGGCCGGAAGCCCCGAAAAACATCCGCTCGCTCTTCTTTTTAACGCTCCCAAACGATATAAATAGCGCATTCCCCGGATGGTACCCCGCGCGATTTTTTTAAATTACGTAACGCCTCTCTCCCCGGACGAATTCCTTTCGTCTGCGGAATCCGACAACCCCGTTAACTCCGCGAAACGAAAATACCTCGATATGACAACGTTCGGAAACCAGAAAAATACCTTTTCGGTCGCTCGAATGCCGTCCGATGAATCCCTGCGACTCGCGAACTCCCGTTTTTGTCGACCGGTAATTCCCCAACGACCAATCCCGGTCTCTTTCTTTTAAAAACTTAATGCCTCGCCTACGCTCGACGACGCGAGGAACGTCGCCCACCTCTCGCGCGAAGCGACGCGACGGAGGAAAGAAGCGATCCAAAAAAAGAAAAACAAGTTCGAACGGATAGCGATTTGTTTATTTTTTCGGAGAATGGGAACGAAAGCGCGCGCGTGGTATATTTACTATCGTTGGGCGAATGTGTGTTAGTGGGTCGTTGCTTCGATCGAAAATAGTCGGAGGAAAGGTTGAACGACCTTGGCAGTGAAACGCCATCCGCCGTAACTCCCCCCGGCCGAAAAATTAATTTTAGGACTACGAACTTTCCCCGTTCGGCAGTTGGGGAAACTCTCCAACCGGTGATTCCCCCCGGTCATTTTTTTTCGGGCACTTACGTCATCCCGCTTAATGCGCTAGACGACGGAGCCGGTTTGCGACGTAGGAATTAATATTTAGCCACGTACAAGTCGGACATAAATTGCCACCCACAGACAAAAACGTGACGTAGCGGTTAAGAATAGCCGGGCGTGCCCGAAACGTCCTTGCGTAATCTTCCCACCCCCAAGTACTTCTAGCGTTCAAACTGCCTACGTAACGTTTGTACAGTCGCGTATTATTTAGACTTTTTCCGCATCGGCGCCCGGCTAGAATCGCCTACGAAATATCAATATTAGCGGGAGATTCTGGGTTCGATTTCTGGTTTAAAATATGAGATTTTTTACGCTGTCTGCTCAGGGCCAAAAATCCGATCGGAATTTAGGCAATTTCGCTCCGATACGTCTTGTTATATTTTTAAACGGATAGACAATAAAAGATGGGGGGAGATAAGACGACGTCCTTACGCGGCGACAATAATAATAATAATAATAATTGGGGCGTCGTCCACACAACATCCTATTTGACTAATCTTTTGTAATGGCCGTTCTGGGCTATTAGAAAACGGAAAAGCCATCGAAACCGACGTCTAACGATGTCTAATTAGTCGAACACTTAAAACCAGTTTCTTATCGAAGTTATTCGCTTGTTAAAATAGCCCCCCTTTTGTAAATGTCGTAACGGGGAGATCGTCACGAGGGATTAACGTGGTTCCGATCTAAGCAGTGGCCGTTCGTAATACCCGTGTTTTGCGATCTAAATGAAGGCCCGTATCCTACTAAGCGGTGTCAATGGCATCTGGAGTCGTTAGCCCACTATATTACGTCCAATATTAGATTCCGTCGGATCGTTTGTCATACAACAAAGGCATATTTCTAGAATGTTTATAGAAAATTTCGTGTGTTGTGTTGTTGTAAATCTCCGATTAAAATTCTGCTTTTGTAATTGTTACGTAATAATGGAGTAAGTTTTAAATAAATTTTTATTAGCGAAAACAACCCGGAACTGGAACTAATTGGGAAATTTTTGTTTTTGTTTTTCTTCGTACGTTTCTAGAAGCGAAAACGTAACCAGTTTAGTTGTCATTTTTCTTTATATAAACTAGTTTTTGTAGGGATTTCCGATATAACTACGCTACGCTGCTTCCATTAGACAATACGCCAGTTAATGGCCAGAGGAGAGCGACAGCGACATATTTGCACCTATAAAATCTCGTGAGCATCTGGAATGGGTTGAACTTCGAATCCATTTCGCACCGCGTTGAAGGTTAAGAAAACCCAAGGTTGCACGGCACAGACGGAAAAATTTAATCTTAAAACGTTATAATTAATTGCCGTATCGCTGGTTACGTAAAACTTAAAATAAATTGCGTAACTTATCCGTTTTCCCGTTTATACCCCGGCAAAATTTTCCAAATTTGGAACGAACGTAGACCAAAAAAATAAACAAAATTTAATTTTCGCCCTCCCCTAAGCTCGTCCTTCTCGATTAATTAAACTCGACCTCCGAGTTTAATTTTAGTTTAATTAAAAGAAAATTATTATTTAAATCGCCTGTATTAAAGTAACGAAAATTAAAATTAACTAAAACGGCTTCCGTCGTATTTTTAACAATGGTTCTACTTTCGACTACCAGATGGAGGCACGGGTTAACTTAACGACTGGTTACCGGCGTGACGTTTTTTAACGATCGAAAGGACGTCATCGGTCTAGCGAAGCCTTTATGCATATGTATTTTTAAATTAAGCGATTTACACGATTTTTTTATAAAATTTAAATAATAATAATACCTTAATTGTCGAGAGAGAACGTCCCGGAATTGGTCACGCTACATTTGCGCCGTAACTACAGTCGTTAGTCTACTTTCCTTAGAAATTCTTTTCTGCCGTAAATATTTTTGGTAACAAAACATATCATCCAAAACATTAATATTTAAGTGATTTAATCAAGAATCGACATATTTTTCCAGTCGTTTATCTGCGGATCGCTGGAGTAGAACGGCGGAAAACGCCATCGAAATAATAATAAACAGGGGCTCGTTCACCTGACTTGTAATGAAAAAATTGATAAAAATAATGGTTTTAAAATCCGGATAGTTATTATATTTTACGGTTAAGTGACAGCTGGCGATGCAGGTAACGCTAGAAGCAAAAACAATAGCGTACTAGTCTCGAATTTTGACTGCGTGCTTACGTGACGTTGATAGATGAATCGAGGAAACCTGCAGGAACCAATACGAGAAAGAACACGAGTGATGACATTTTTGAAGGGAGGGAAAACAAACAAACACTACAGAAATCTGCCCCCAAGAAGCTACACTTAATTATTTGCAGAGAAGGGAGACACGATTATCGTATTTACGTAAACTTCTTTATGTGATGTACGTGGATGCTATTGTTCGCTGGAAACATTTCTTATTTCTCACGATTATGCCACGTAACCGCTCTCCCATTTTAATTAACGAACATTTTGTAAAAGGGAGAAAGTAATTTAGAGAAACTTCTTGGAAAATTCTGAAAGATTCGACTGCTGACGTCATAATATAAGAAGTACAGTGAACTATACAGTAATTATACTTGAGTCAGGAGAACGACCTCAACCCTTTCTTGTGTTCGGAAGATATTTGTGGCTGTTGCTAACGACAACGTTTTAACTGGCAAGCTGACAGAAATACACTCACCGGCAGCTGACAAGATGTTTCTAAAACAACGAATCTAGGACTCCGGGGCTTATCTCGGGGGGTTAAACTTCGGAAAAGGGTGGTTCGAGAGGGAAAGAGGGCCCTCGATAAACTCGATCTTTTCGTAGCTATTCGTGTACTACGATACTTCACTACCGAACATTCTAAATAATGTCAAACTATATATAATCGTCTCTAACGTAACGTATAACCCATTAACACCATTAAAAATCTCCATTTAGGAGAGGGCATTATGTAAGAGTCTCCTATATTTAACATTTGATTAGTCCGTGTTAGTAGCTATTCTACTTATAAAATGATAACTCACGGGTTCTTATCCGGAAACGGTAAATCCTCTTGACTTTCGATCACCATTGTTTGCACCATCGAATTACCAAACGATACTCTGTGGAGAGAAACAAATAAGCTACTTTTGTATAAGTGACGTCTCTCGTACAAAAACATCTATTTGTTTTTGTTTACCCCCTCCCTCCCTCGCCATTTTTATAACAATTTGTATGTCTACGCGAAAATGTTTATTAAGTGTTGTTTTTGGCTCCTAATAATTTAAAGCGTGCAAACGACAATTCTAATTTTAAACTTGTAAGAAATCTGAAATAAGGCCAAACAACTTCAGAAAAGTATTTATAGTGACTTGTAATTGGTTGGCAAATCGAGAACATCCATCTTCCGAGCTAAAATTTTTATTCCCCCCTTTGGCCATATTTTACATAAATTCTGAAAAATTATTCTATTAAATATTCATCGAGTTTTGGCTCCCGTCTTTGACCGTGCCGAAATAAAAGTCGGCTGCGAATTTTTACTCCGTTTTACACGATCTCCCTTATGAATTAATGATTTTCTTATCTGCCATTTTAAAATATGTAAAGCTTTAAGTCTTTTTGAGTTTTTATTGCACAAGCCACGGCCATTTACGACATTTCCCAAACGTTGAAGTCTAATTACGATTCCATTTTATATACATATATTTCTCCCCCCCCCCAAATTACTGCCGTAAAACCGTAAACATTTAACTTAATATAGCGAGACACTAACTGATTTTATCAAATTCATTTCTTTAAATTTCTCCTGTAAATTCTGCTGCTTATTAATCTTAGAAGGCTTGAGAGAAAGCCTAACCGAACCCTTCTCTTCCCTTTAAAATACGTAGAAGGTAATCTAACCCGACGTATAAATTACGTTTTGTCATCTGATATTATACAGACTTAAGTGTAATTGTAGTACATTAAATCTTATCATCTGTAAAGAGAAATATAATTTATACTTTTTATTACAACCTTTCAATAACATAATTAGATGTAACCTTGGATTCTTAAATTCTATATATATATTTTTTTCTTTCTTTCTCTCTAACAATATGCGCCGCTACCTATTCTATTTTTCGAATATTTACTGCAGCGTCAGAAACTTCGATCGATCAGATGACCTTTAAAATGGGCGCGTGCGAACGATTGTTCTAAAGGGATTTGTCATAAAATTATCACCCATTAAAATATTAGATGATTAACTCTAGGATGATTTCTTCGAACAGTTCTTTTAATAAATAAATAATAATAAAAAAAACAACGGCGTACTTGGCCGATATCCAGCCATTCGAGTGCATAATACTCTTCGCACTTTTCATTCACACCAAAGGAAATTTTAGAACAGAAAGAGAGAGAGAAAAAAGCGCAGATTTCTCCATTTAACTTTTTATTATACCTTTATACTATTTGTTCAGAACTGCGACGGACATAAAATAGGCACAATAGACGAGCCATACACGCATCGTCCTTGACTCGTACCTGTAAGTGTTCAACTGGTGCAAGTATTTCAGAATTCCTGTCATATAAACTTTCCCGGAAGTTTCGCTCGATAACAAACAAATCAACTCGAAACCATTCTTTATTTTTCATTATTCGTTCGTCCCATTTACTCCTAAATTCGTGATTATGCACAAATTCTAACCATTGAAATTCCTTATTTTCGTCTCGCCTCGTTTACCAGGCTCTGTAATCGCGTGTGAAATAATTAAAATACGTTTAGTTATGCTTCTAATGATAAGTGTTTATAAAAACTAGTTTTTTTTGATAAGAGAGGTTTTAAGTTCATTTCGATCTAAAAAAATTCCCCTTTAAATCCCCCAGCTTTCATTCGATCCGAATAATTTAACAGTCGGTCGATATTACACGTGTTCGGCGAATTCGAAAGTAAAAAAATAAATGTTTAATTGTCGATTACGCTCCACGTGACTGCTGCATGGTGACGTCAGACTGCAGTCTCGTCTGCTGTCATTTCGAATCGATATCACGTGTTCGTCACCGCCGAGCGGAATTAAAATATTAAAAACAAACGACGACGTCGAGATAAATCGATTCGAATTACCGACACGAAATTACATTTTTAAAAACAATTAAAAATATTTGAAATTTTTTTAAATATCTCTCTTAACAGCAGACGATAATCCGCGGTTGACATGGCAACCGAAACAAACATTATGCCTAAAGCGCCACTACGCAATTTTTTTTTTTTTTTTGTATTAGCCATCGATTTTACTTTAACTGTTCGATTTTTCTGATATATTTTAATTAGAAATTAAATAAAAAAATATACCTTTTATAAATTGCCGGCCTTCCATTCTTGATGCCGCCGTTCAATAGACATAACTTATCATCGTCGCCCGCGTTTTTGGTGTCGTCGTCATTGATTTCTTGATCGGTTCCTTCTTTAGTTTCGTCGTCGACGCTGATCATAATGTTTTCTGGATCGGAGGAGACTCCGGTCGGCGTCTTCTTCCCCTCCTCACCGTCCACAACGTAAGGTGTCATAGGCGTGGGACTCATGCTTCCAGCGAACTGGATTCGATGCTTCTCCACTCACTCTCCCGTCATCCCCGAGAAGAGTGCGCTGCCAACTGACCTACTGAGTGAGTTACAGTTTGGTACCACGGGGCGAGTCCACCGCTCCGATCGAGGGGAGCGCCTCCTGCCGTTTATAATCGGCGTTACTAATTTATTCCCTACCGATTCGATAATTAAAACACGGAATTTAATTTCGCCGCCAATTATTTTACGCGATAATCCTTCAAATTGTCTTTGAAAAATTATAAAATATATTTCGAGTGTGGGTTTTTTTCGGCGTGAAAATTAAAAGGAAATGGGGGTACTTTCCCAAATAACCAGTTATTGTGTGAGTGAATGGCCTGAATCCACCTGCTTGGGTTAGTAACCATTAGATGCGAAGCTGTGACTAGAAAACACGATTAACGGGAGTGAAACTAGTTCTAGTGCCAAAAAAATTACATTAAAAAATGTTTCGCCCGAATATTGACCATATATCGTGTATAAATTTGTACTCACTTACCGAACGTTACGTTTGATGTTTAATGAACCGTCGAAAATGGGTAGAGCGCTTCCAGACGGGTTCGAGATCGCTAACTGAACCTGATATTTACTTATATTAAGATATATTGTGAGCGATATTAAATTAATGACGCAACTGATGCTTTAAGATAATTGCTAGGTAACTTAAAATTCTTGTTAAAAATTCACGCTATAATTTTATATATAGGATAATTCTACAGCTTAAATATTTAAATGCTAGTTACGTAATTAATTAAGAATTAAGATGAGGTAAATATGACTTAATGTACAGTACTTGTTATATATTCTAATTCTGTTGCGTTAAAACCCTTTAACGCCCTTCAGCAATTTTAACTAATTATACAATTCTTATTTTGAAATTTAAGTGTTTGAATCGTAGTAGATGTAGGGAATGATTATTTCAGTTATAAAATGATATTATTATACAAAATACAGGATCTTGTAATTATCCTGTAATAACTCCACAAGAATCTCTTAATTTTAATTATTTTTACAGAAACTTAATACGAATCATTGTGACGTAATCTCGATAACTGTTATTTAGTTAAAAAGGGTCTCCGTTAAAATCTATCTTACGATCGCTTAACAACGTAATTCGAAATCTGACCAATCGCAAATAAACACAGTTAATACGTCATTCGAATATTTTAGCAATGGTACATTGTTCTAATTGTCCAATTTCGGTGTTCTAACGTTTCTAAACAAGCATAGCTAACTTAAAATACTGTTTCCACGCGATATCGGTATCTCAATAGCCTAATAAATCTTTACTCCTACTTAAATAGGAGCAACAAGTACGTAATTAAAAAAAAAAAAACTTTTTTTGGTGAAGTTCACCGGATGTTTACAATAATATTTTATAATTTTAAGCTTAAATGAAGAATACATTGTAATGAATTGTAGCGATGTAGAATGAGAATACATTGTAATTAATATTGTCTTCTGTCCTACACAATTACCTATTATATCTAACAATGAATCGTCTAAAAATCGGTGTTTAAACAATAAATATGATATACTGGGTTATTTGAGTACAAGTACCTTTTATTATTTAAAAAAATTAGAAGTAAATAATAATAATAAAAAAATAGCATCTAATTCTTTTATAAAAAGAATTCCTTTATTATAATCTATGAAATTTTTTGATTTCACTAATCTAGAGGTCGTTACGTATCTGCCATTGACCTAATTCGTTACACGATTCGAAAAAATATTTTCGTAAATTTAATTTATCAGAAATTTTATTAAATATTTCCCACGAAATTTAATTATAATTGTAATTTATTTATCATTAAAAAAAGTAATTAGGATTAATTACGTATTACGTCACAGTTTAAAATTATGTGCTTTTAGAAGAAATTTCGTGAAGTTAATTTAAAATTAGAATAAATTCCGAAAGTTCGTTTACCTTTTTTACCGCGACGAAGATAAATAATAACGAGATTTGCCGAATTTTAATTAAAAAAATATAATTTGAAATGTTAAACGTGAATTTACGGAATTTAAAAAAAAATGATGGCGTCAGGAGTGTCAGCAAAATTTTTCATTTTAAAAATAAATTGCATAAAATATAATTGTAGAAAATTATTTGCGATTTTTTCCTGTTTAACTTAATGGGAAATTAATTTTTTTTAATTAACTTCTAATTTTCGTATCTATAAATCCAGATGGGGTTAATGCCCCCGTTTTAACGCTCCACCGATTTTTTAACGTTTGGCATTAAAATAATTACATGCAATTTTCTGATTAAAAATTATACGAATTACTATTTTTAAAATTTTTTTAAACCATGAAGAACACTTTTTAAAAAATCCAGTTTTCAATGTTAGAATGAATATGCTCGAGTTTTAAAACCATAATAATCCCGCATGGAATAAAAATAATCGTCTGCTATTTAACTGCTGCCATCTGTTGACAATGTCTAAAAAGTCTTATTTTGTTAATTTATGAAATTTTATTCAGTTTATGAGCAGAAGATGGCGCTGTGTAATCACACTTATATTTACACAAATTAATTGTAAAAGTCAACTCCAGTTTATTAATTTTTAGTAAAAATCAAAACAAAAAAAATCTTTATTACTTTAAATAATTCTTTACAGCTGAAAATGATCAATTAATTGAATAATTTTATTAATTAACACACACAACTTGAGTAAATATAAAGTATACATTGAATAATGTGGTATACGTTGTGTCTAAAATTATTTTCCGAGCCGTCTCTCTGGAAGCCGTGTCCGAACGGAGCGATTTGACGCGATGATAGGTAATTTATGTGTCCCACAGTTCGCTGGGTAAAAATGTTCGGAGTCTTATTTCCTCGAAGACCGGAAGAGAAGAGAAGAATCTCAGCCCCGTGAGAATCTCCACGTCCTTCACTCTCGCACTGTGTTTCAGCAGATATTCTTCGGCAGACTGATGGTAATTTACGGTTTAAACCCGGGCAAAAATTTGTTTATTAGATAGTTTTAAAAGTCCGAAACAACCCTTTAGTTGTGAGGTGACCAGATTTTTGAACTTTTAAAGCAGAAGGCTCGTCACGGGTACCAAAGTGCCAAGTACTCTTACGTTATTCGACATTTTGATATCCAAATAGTCTCTAGACAAACTTTCTCGTTATTTATTCCCATTGAGGTAGTTATTGTTAGGGGCTGCCAACTCTCCCACATTCACCGAGAGACTCCTAAATCGGGGCCTATTCTTCTCATATTTACTTGACACGATGATCAAATTTTGGGTTTAAAATGGACTAAAGAATAGGCAGTGGGTGACAGCATTTGTCAAAAATAAGACACATCAAATCTTTTGGAATCGAGTTGGCAAACCTAGGGCTGGTGCATGCTAATGATAAATTTTGTATTAAGTGCTAAAAATTGTCATCATATCCTTGGAGAAAATATTTACTTTGTGTTACCAAACGGCCATATTTTCATTATAACATCTTCAATTTTTGTGACAAAACAATAAATAAATGGGACATCGAGACATCTCCACCGACCCTATGGGGACAGAGGGACTAAAAGCACAAAAGCAAGACTGATAGTTAAAAAGAATCTAACTTAAATAGATGGTTTATGAATCTCTATATCTACATGAGGGTCCTCAATGCATGCAGGAGAGACCCTAGCAAGGTTTTCAGATGGTGCAAGATCTCATTGTGGTGCCCCCTGTAGAGAATAAACTGTACATAGAGACTACAGATAACATACATCTTTTACATTATTAATAACTCAGACCTCCAAAAGATTAACATAGTAGTAGTATGGATGAGAAACAATAACAGTAAAAAGAAACAATATTTGTTTGAAAAGATTAACAGTCTACAACGTTAAGTGTGAATTTCATGCTATATGTGTATACCTTTGAAATGTGCACAATCCAGCTCACTGTTGTATAGAATTTATTTTGGCAGGTAGGGTTAAGTAGTAATAAGGTGATTGGGTTTTATTTTTTGCACAGATGATCTGTCGTTGCATTTTTTGCGCCCCTATGATGGCACATGGTGTGGTCACGCCATTCGCATCGACCTAGGGCTGCCCCTGAATGCATGGAAGTTTCTATATAATGGGAATAATGCAAAGGATCTAAAGTTACTAAAAGTACTTGTTGTTATAAGCTAATAGGCAGATGAGAAAATGAAGATTTTCTATTTCAATCTCAAATGTTCATTTGTTATCAAATTTAGAGCTGCTTTAACTAAGGTGTTGTTTTGGACTTTCAAGTTAATAAGAATAGAAAGACAACGGTGCCACTTACCTGACAGTTTTCTGGTTCTGGCAGGTGTGGAAGAAGAAACGAAATCACATCGACATTCTGCGGAAGACAGTTGTGAATGTTGATGTCGTCCAGACATCTCGTGATTACATAAAAGTAATGAGTCGGTATCGGAACCGAATGTTTCTGGACTTTCCTAAAAAAAATACAAACGAGTTATTTCTATTTATTTGTATATTATAAAAATTAAGTTTTAATAATTTAATTATAAAAAATTTATAAAAATCATTGATTTTGAAATTTAATTTGGTTGAGCATAAATATTATTTTCAAACTGATCCAGTAAATAAGAACAAAATTCTCTTGTAATGTTGATCGACAAGAATGCCAACTGCAACTCTGACATCTCTCTAACTTAATAAAGACATAAATACATCCCTTGTCAAAAAATTACGCACCCCGATAGCTGCCGAGTTTCTACGTTGGATTTTATGTTTTAACCGGGACAATTCTGTGTCTCGAACAGGTATGTAAATGATTAAATGGTTGTGGTCTAATTTCACACTAGCTAATACCCATCAGTACTTTAAAATTTCTACCCCTATCTTATATCCAGTATCCTATAAAACAGCTTGCAGAGGCTTACTGTCTTCAGAATTCTTTGTGTTATACGGGCAGTACTTGACATTCATTCAAAGACTCTCAAATAGCAAATACACTGTCAAAGACATGCACAGCTGACATGAATAAGAAAAACCACATGTTGGGTTGAGGAAAGCAAGAACATTGTTTCACCTAATTCTCTGCCATCTGACAATTCTGACCTGATTGTGAGGAGGTATTGGAACAGTGGATATGTAAAGGTAAACAGACGCGATGGGCAGACTTGGGAGTAGTCTGGATGTCTTAGACAGATCTTCAGAACAGATAATCATCTGATCATCAGGCAAGCACAAATGGCTTATTCCACCATCTGGACACAGAATTCTGTAGCAAAGCTTCTACCTATGTCACTGACAGGTGACTAGCAGAGGCAAATTTGTATACATGACAACTATTATGCATCCTGCCATTAGCATACCAACATTGTTGGCTTCATTTTCTGCAGTGCAGTCACCCTCAGTAGTGGTATAACAAATACTAATGGCACAATGGTGTATTTAGAAAATCCTGCATCTTCACACGTTGCCTTTTGTGGCAGTGCTTCAAACAGCCACTTTCCAGCAAGATAACAAGATAAACTGTGCTGCACTGTTACTTTTCCAGGAATGTCTCTGTTGCATTGCCACACTTCCTTTTCCACAAATCTGGATTTGTCATCTATTGAACATTTGTGGGATTGGAGGGATGCCGACTTTGACCATCTCCAAATGTGATGGATCTGGAGCATCAATTGCAACATCCATGGACAAATCTGTTGCAGGACGACAAACGGTGCCTGTATATTTCTGTGCCAATCCTGATGCTATGCATATCCAGATGAGAGGAGATCTTACAAAGTACTAAAGGTTCCTTTAAATTGTATTGTTCTGTCAGAAATTAGTTTTTCTGTAACATTGTAATCACTTATTACCATTATCATGTTTGCACTAATAGTTTCATTTGATTCTAAAGCCTCCTTCTTGGTAAATAGCCTTTTTTAGTCAGTGATTAAAAGGAAGGAATAAATTTTTACACGCATTTAACAAAGTGAAAGTTTCATTTCTTTGTGTACTAATTATGCCAAATCTTAAATAGATATTTTATGGAACATATTACTCTTAATCTTTGTGCTTCATAAAGCACAAAGATAAGATCCATGAACACTATCTAAGGTTTTTCTGTATTCTGTAGCATCTTGATATCTTTTTTGTGGATGATTAAACTCATCTATGTAATACTTAGCTCATCAATATATACTTTATCAATTATTACTTCGTATTTCTCAAGAATAAAAATATTAGATGTCTGTTTAATCTGATCTGTAAGTCTAGACCAATAAATCATGCCTAAAATGTTCTAGAGACACTAAATGTAACTAATTCCTTTTAGAATCATTCATAAACTAAGTTTTATTCTCATTGAAGAATAGCATTTGCTGCTTGCAGAATTTGATCAACATGTATTATGGGTATGGGAGTAGAGCGGATCCCTTTCTTCCTTAGTGGGCCTCTTTTGCCATTTATTTTCAAACAAATAAAATACTTAGAACATTTCTTTATTAATGAAAAGCAGTCTTGATTTTATTTTTAGTCAGTAAAAATAACATAATTCACAGGGTTAGAAAGTGCATCTCTGGACTCATCTCTGGGCTTCCAAATATTAGTGACATTTAAATTCACATTGTTCAATCTAATGCCTGTTTCTTGAGGAGATGCTCTAACATCAAACCCGCTCCAGGGAAAATTCCTTGGCTCTCTCCCCTCTCGACAGCTCCAACTAATTAATCAAATTCTGCAGAATCTCGGGAAACTAACTAATAAAGTACGAATTTCCTCTAAACAGTTTAAGGTTATTTGATACTAACTAAATTTTTGAATTACATTTAATACTTTGTGGATTACATTTTATGTTCAATCTATAAAATAATGTACACAATGACAAGGTGTCATTGAAATCACTTACAAAATTTCATAATTGGGAAATTTAATTCCATTTGTTTTAACGTCAAAAGCCGGTCCTGTGACTACATTTATTGTCTTGTATTTCCTTGTCCACTGAAGAAGCATTTCTTCAATAAAGCGATTCACATTACTGCCGTAGGTAACATACATTGGAACAGAATTTGTAGCAAGCCATGCCATCGGTATTGTTCTGATAGATGAAGACAATTCTAGTAAAAATTATAATTTTTAAATGTTAAGACAGAATTGTTTTGTACAATACTCTTGTATTGATCTTTATAACATAGACAACTGAAATTTTACATACCAGCAGGGAATAACAGTTGCTGTGTAAATTCGGTCGGTAATACCTGATAATCTTTGCATTTAGGGGTATAATCTAATGGTATTCTATAGTCCACAGCCCAGCAAGATTCCTTTTTCCTGCTCCAAATCTTCAATTAACATAAAAATATTGAAATAATAATTAACATGATTTATAAATTTATTCAATTAAAATAGATTTTTTTTAAACCATAAAGTTGTCTAATATCCAAATGTTACATATAGATAAGGCTTTATATAAGAATTTCATCAATAAATCTGATAAGCAGTTCTAATTCAGATATCTTTTATTCTTATTCTTTGTTACAGTAAAGTCCTACTATTACTAGGGCAGTTATCATTAGTTCAGGAATAATGATAACTGCCCCTAACAAAACAAAGATAACCCAATTTTTTGTAATCAGTTTTCTAGCAATTACTTTTTTGAATGACAAGTTTGTTAAATTTTGACTGTTTAAATCATACTACAATTATTTAAAGTCTTGATCAAATTAATTAATTGTTAACATACTGTACATAAGTTAGTTAGATGGATGTATGTATGTATTGATATATATGTAAAAGAGATGATCAATAAAATGTAACAAGTGCATTTTATTTTATATGTAATTGCCTGGCCATTGAAGTATTTATCCCAAAATCTCACTGTCCTACAAGCCTCATGATTCCATATTCAAAAAAGTTGCAAGACAGCTGTGGAGCAAAGTGCATATGGCTCTCCATTCTGCTCAGTCAGACTGAAATTGTCTCCTTTCAGCACTTTCTTCGGGTCACCAAAGACATGAAAGTCACATGGACTTCACTCACTGTGCGTTGTCTAGACACATTTGTCATATGTTGAAAAATTTCCATACACCCAGTTTCTTCTGAGATTAGGAATCATATTATGTTACATTGCTCTACTGTAGGATCATAAGCATTACTGACTGGCCAAACTAATGTTTACCTTATTTATATCTCTCAATTCCCACCTAGTTTCATTTCTACGAAAATTACTTTCGAAACTCTCCACTTATTGACTTATTGTTTATTGATCATCTCTCATATGCATGCTTATTCAAACTCCAATAAGCACTTTTATAACAGAATTTAGGAATTAAAATTTCATACGCTATCTTTAAGTGTGAATGCGGTCCAGACGGGGAGTCGTAGCTGATAGCTATATGTTGACGTATAATCTTCGTTGTACAATAGACAAAGGAAAGCATTCTCTTTTTCTGTTGCAGTACCTACTAGTCCCCAAGGAACATGATTATTATCTTCAAAATTATCCAAAGGAAACTTCTAAAATGAAATAATAATTATCATATAATATACTGTAAAAATAATATATTGTATAATATTTACTATTCACAATAAAGAATATTTGGATTTTCAAACAAATAAAATACATAAAATAAAAGACATAGCTACTGAAAAGTATCAAAAACTCTAAAATAGTGCATCCAAAAACAATAGTAATAACATTTGTAATTATGAAAATTTCACTGTTTAGATAAAGCAATGATACAAGGTGTGACAATTTAATTCCCTTAATGGCCGCGTAGTGTCGCCATTGACAATCATATGGAAAAAACGTGCATTCGTGTTTGAACATATTTGAACTAACACTAAATTACTAAATATGTAAATTTCAAGTTGATAGAACTAGTTATTAATTAGCTATTGGGAAGGTAATAGTTATCTGCATGTAGTCTTTGGCATAAAAATGTGTGACCAAATGTATAGCAATGTATTAATGTTAAATTTTGTGTGAAAATCAACAAATGACGCATTACAACTGTTGCAAGTATGCAAGTGACAAATGGTGAAGATGCTACGAAAAAGTCCCTAATGCCCAAGTTCACTGCACGCATGTCACACACACATTTTAAGACCATGCTGGTGCACTTCTTCGATAACAAGGGAATAGTCCATCAAGAATTTATTGAACAGGAACAAACAATCAACTAACAATACTACCTAGAAGTACTGCAGAGATTACAAGATTTTGTTCGAAGAAAAAGACATACTCTATTGCTACAAGTGGATCATTCATCAAGACAATCCACAAAGTCACAGTCATTCACTGTGAGACATTTTCTGGCCAACAAAGCAATTAGATCATCCTGCCTATTTGCCTGACTTAGCTCCCTTTGATTTCTGGTTGTTTATTTCCAAAATTGAGATTAATGCAGGGAATATTGGCAATGAAAATCAATTTTAAATACAGTTGAATCTAATTAATTTGAAATACTAGATAATTTGAAGATAGCATATCTCATATTTCGATAAAATGATAATGCCAAATTCATTGGGCTTTAATTTGGCTAATTAAATACACATAGCATGTCCAGGAAGTTGTGTTACCACAATTTTTTGTTCTTGCAAAGGAGATACTGAAACATATTATAAGTCGGAACATATGTTACACTTTACTCATTCAGAATGAGATTCATCATAATCATTGAAGAGTCTGATGAGGCATCAAGTTTGCCAAGATGTTTTCTAACCAGAGATAATCTGGTATGAGAACAGAAAATGCTCCTATCATTGCATTCTTCAATTCTTCTGTTGTCTGATAGCACTGTTGATTGACTTTCTTCATGAAGAAGCCCATTCTCATGATCATAAAGTTGGGGTCTTGTCGGTGGCCACAGGAGAGATGCTGGAGATACTTTAGATCCATGACAGATCCATCTGATTGGGAACAATTTCAGTCAACAATGCTACCAGACAACAGAAGAATTGAAGAATGCAATGATAGGAGCATTTTCTCTTCTCATACCAGATTATCTCTATAGGCAAAACATCTTGACAAACTCTACACCTTATCAAATTCTTCTGTGACCATAATGGAGTCATATGGATATTCTGGACAAGGAAAGTGTAAGGTATGTTCTGGCATATAATATGTCAAGTATTTCTTTTACAAGAATGAATATACTGTGTGTCAAAAAATTATAGAAAAAAGTTTATTGTTGATATTTAAAAAAACACTTGCATATATTGTAACAAAACTTTTAGTAAATGATCATTGGAGTATTATGAATTGATTAAATGGGTGCATTCAATAATTACATTTGGATTGTTTTAGACATTCAACAATAATCAGAATTTGTGTGTCAAATAATTATAGAAGGAAACAATACTCTTTGGATTTTACATTGAGTTTTCCCCTAAGTCTTGTGCACTCTAGTTGCAAAAGCTGCATATCAAAACTAAAACTAATTAACCACCAAATTTAAAACTGTTAAGCAAGTTTTGATTGTCCTCTTGGTGAGTAGCCATTATGCCTTGAGGAACCAAGCTCAATGAGGACAAAGTGTGCCGTATTCTTAAATTATGGGCTTATGGAAAGAAATATCAAAGGAAACAAGTTGTTCATTAAAAGTAATTCACAAATTAGTGATACATCGGGAGAAATATGGGAAATGCAAGCAACCAGGACAATCATTGAGTCTATCACCAAGAGATTGGAGCCATGTTTTTTTTTTTTTTTTTTTTTTTGCCTGGCCAGTTAACCAAATGAATTATCCTCAAATTAAAACCCATTTAGACTTGATCCAGACTAGGCAAATAGTTTGGAATACCCTCAAGAAGGATGGAACTGCCATTTATTGGAAGCATGCAAAGACACCTAAGCTTACACAAAAGCACAAGTTGGCACAATTGGAATTTGGCTAAAAATATCAAACATGGATGCAATGGCAACAAGTCTTCTTCAGTGACAAAAAGAAATTCAAGTTGGATAGGCCAGGTGGCTGCCAGTACTATTCAGACAATTTAAGAAAAGAACAAGACTCATTTTTCAATCGTGTGTCTGGAGGAGGTTCTGTGATTTGGAGCACTTTTGGCTTCAATAGGCAGAATGAAATCATATTTATTTCTGGCTGGCAAAAGGCTAAGGACTATCAGAATACTTTAGAAAACCATCTTTTGCCATTTGGGCCAATTATTGGTGGACCAAATTGGGTGTTTCAACAGGATAATGCCCCTATTCATATAGTAAAGACCACCAAAACTTGGTTCCAATTAAAGAACATAACTGTTCCTGACTTGCCAGCAGGCAGCCCAGATCTCAATCCAATTGAGAATCTGTGGAGGGGCTTCTTGTACAAAAGGTTTACAGTGATGGACAACAGTTTAGCACTTTTAATGAACTTAAGGTGGTCATCATGGAAGCATGAGAGAATATTTGAGATGTAACACGCCAAAATCTTATCAATTCCATGAAGAATCGTGAATTTGAGATGACAAGTAAACTGGTGCAGAATCAAATACTAATTATGAGATTATTGTTTCTTTAGAGCATTAAGATATTTTTCTATAATTATTTGACCATACCTTATGACTATTGTTAACTACAATTGAACAGAATAGATAGATTTATCTATTCTGCTCAATTGTATTTATTAATTTAAATAATTGTGTGATATGTAATACGTGTGTGATATGATTTGATACATAAATGACCAAAGTGTGATAAATGTATGTTAGTAAATAAAAAAAATAAAATAGCGATAGTATCGATTATTTATAAAATTTATTTATTTATTTATTATTTATTAAATATTCTTAGTATCGATTATTGCGATTTTCCACAATATATATATTGTGGAAAATCGCAATAATCGATACTAAGAATATTGTGAAAGGGAATGAATTACCATGTGAGAAGACAACAAATGAAAATAGCTTAACAATAAGTTTATGTACAAGTAAAATAAATATACACAAAAATTTACAATTTGTTCACCAGGTTGCACATACAGACACCTATGAACTCTCCAGGTTTGTCAGTACAACAAGTTTGCTATAATACAGGTCCTTTCAGTAAAGTCCAAACACGTGGGGCTCACAAAAGAAAACTAATTGTTGGGCAATGTCCACTACCAACAATTACTTTTTACCAACAAAGCATTTTTATCACCCGGTAAATATTCCAGCTGATGCAAACATATTCTTTCACTTCAAAGTGGTAATACAAGTCTGTGTAGATATTACTTGCGTCGCTCCATGCAGTCACTCTGAACACATTAACACACAAAGAAACACAAGAAAAACCAAGGACCCTTTCCTTCACCTGGGTGACCTCTCATCTGCCAGAAACAAGGCCCCCTCCAGCCAACCCACAATTCTTTTTATACACCTTTCTCTCCACCAAAACTGCTGCCAACTCTTTAAAAAAAATTACACATAGCCCAAAACCAGACTATTATCCTGAAACAGCACACTTTTCTATTTACTTGTAAACATAAATAAAGTATTAACATATATAAATTTGTTTAATTACAAAATCGTTCTTTTAACTTATTTCTTAAAATCTTATTTAAATTTACTGAGATTGATAGGAAAGAATGGTGATTTTTTTAAAAAAATTGTATTTTATTATTCACTTCTTACTTTGTCGCCCAGTTGTCCATCACCCACTTGAAGGTGTCCCATCTGTCATGCCAGACTTTTCTTGTGTGTAGTCAGAGCAATGAGAGATTGCACTTGGTCAGTATTGTCTGTCCTCATTTCAGAGATAGAGTGACATTAGGATTGCCACCCAGCCAGTATTGGATTGACTTGACTTGCAATTTCAAATCAAGGCTGGTAGTTGACAAAAATATTTAAGTGTTGGCAAAAGTTAAAAAATAAATAATTATATTTTAATTTAAAAAAATATTAAAAACTAATCTTTAATATTTAGTATGTTTACTATGATAAAATGCTTGAATAACACCTTAAATATTTTTTTTCAGCAACACTAATTTATTTAAACAAAAGTTTGACCCCATTCATATGTCTGAGTCAGGTTTAATAAGAGAATATCTTCTTAAACAGTTTGGATCTTGTTAAACCTGATGCAAACCTATAAAAAGGGTGAAAAATTTTCATTAAAATTAATTAAATACTTAAATATCTTTTCCGGAGACACTTAAGTGTAAAAAGTGTTGTTCAAGCTAAATTAGTTTCAGCTCATATAGAAGTGTTTTTGTTATGATTCATAGATGATGATGCAGTATGTCAAATTTTCTAGTGCAATTTGCACGAGTCTAAGTAAAAACAATTGTTTGTGCTAAGTTTACTGCAGTTTTGAGTTTTAAAAATTGATTTTTCAAGATGAGTCAGTTTAGGCATTCGTTTGTTTCTTCTTTTTCTTAAAAAAGTTCAGTCAATTGTACAGTACATTTAGAAAAACCAGGATGAAGTGAATGAATTGAAAACTTGGTTAACTTGTGATGATATTTGCTCAGCTCATTGCATCATCTGCCAATCATCATTTAGTGTAAAGAATTTACAAGAAGCATGAAAAAAAAAGTTCATCGTCTCATTTACTTTCCCTTNTATTCGCCAGATCGAGCACACTCAGATTATTACTTGTTCCAGTCTATACAATTTTTTTTAACTGTAAGACATTTACTTGAAATGACAATGTCAAAAATCACTTGGATCGGTTTTTTGTAAGCAACGATCAAAACTTTTATGAATGTGAAATCGTGCTACTACTAGAAACAATGACAACTGGTATTTGACCAAAATGGTCAATATATAATTCAATAAAATATTTATTTATCATAAGAATATTGCGTTTTTTTCCGCGGATAAAAAAACGAACTTACTTTCCGAACAACCCAATACTTATTAAATTTAGAATATTCTGGAAAAAAAGATTGATCTAGAGTGGAATTCAAGCCTGAAACTCCTGTTTAATTAATTTATAATTTATTCTATTGTCAAATTTTGAAAATGAAACTCAAAAAGTAGTTTACAGTGAAACAGTATATAATGCTACTGCATGAGGCAACTGATATACAACAATAACAAATCAATGAAACTTTATGTGTAAATTAAATTCTGTCTGTCTTAGGAAGTTTAGTCCATTTAAAAATATTTGTGAAGTATTTATGAAAGTTTAATAATGGAAACTTGTCACAAATACAATTGTCTTTTACTTCAATTTCCTTTCATAATTTTTTTCCTTCTTCTGAAACTTAATATAATTGTTATTATTAGGAGTCATCTATTATGTGTAGGGTTCACAAAAGTCCTTCCACCCAGTGTACAAAATGGGAGAAGAGGGTTGAGACATCTATGTGGACTTTTTTAGTGGTATTAGTGACATATGAATTTTTTCCTATAAGCTACTTTCTAGTTGTGTGAATAAACTATCAGTTAGAAAATATTTACAGACCTTTTAAAGTAATTTCTTCAATGTCAGAGGAATCTGTAAACTATTGTGCATTGTGAAAGTGCACGAAATTAGAATTCACCACAAAGGCAAACAGGATACAGTAACAAAAAATGTTATATTTTTCCAATTAAACTATTTCACGTTTTTATACAGATTCTATTTCAGGGGATTCCAACTTCATGGTACAAAGAGTAGCATGCAAAATTACAGCGAGAATAATAGATCGTTATATCCAATGCACGTGTACAATACAGATCCTGATCATGACAATATAATTTATAACCCGAAACCTTAAAACTAATCTTAAACACTAACTTAACACTAATGACAGAAAAAGCGGTAGAAATAAGAGGACAGAAGAAATGGTATATACGATAGAATTAGGAGAGAAAAGATTCTGTTTTAGGGTCGTATTGATGACAGTGGAAGGAAGAATCCTAAGTATTGAAGGAGAAAAGAACTGGCCAGTTATAGAAGAAGAACATGTGTTATCCCACTTGTTTCCTTATGCATACTGTCAGGTGGGATAACACACGTTCTTCTCCTATAACTGGCCAGTTCTTTTCTCCTTCAATACTTAGGATTCTTCCTTCCACTGTCATCAATACGACCCTAAAACAGAATCTTTTCTCTCCTTATTTCTGAAATCTCCAGTCGTTGCTAATGAGACTCCTAGTATTCTCACCTCATCCATACACTCTGCTGTCTGACCTAAGAATAACCTGCTACGTCACTTCTTTTTCTCCGAGTCCTGTTTACACCTTTGTTCCTCACATTTCTAGGAACTGGTCATCCCACCCAAGGGACAGGGAATAGATAAGAAAGTTCTAGAAGAAAACAGAACAATAGAACAAAGAGTAGAGAGAAGAAACTAAACTAAACTTAAATTAATATTTACAAAAATATAGAGTACAGCCACAGCGTGTGTAAAGGGGAGGAATTTGCCAAAAGTACATCATTGTACACAACAGGGAGGAAGGGATATCAAAAGTGGCTCAAAAGTTATACATGTAATTAATGAATGATTTCTTAATGTTTATGACGACAAAATTGGAAGGTATGAAAGTGCTTGTTGTTATCAGTGTTGAGCTGTATATATATGTTGGGGGGAAGTCAGGTGACAACGAGTAAGAAAAATTTCCTATTGTTGGGTTTTGAGTAAATATGAAAATAAGATGTACTGTACCTGTTATGTACAATAGTTGTTTTTTATGAAAAAGGAAATTCAATATTCTAATGTTCCGAAAACAGAACAAAAAATAAGTTAATGTATGGGTAGACCTGAAGTAGATCTTTAAAGCAGCTCTAAAGCACTTGTCCAATCATTAAATTTATGCTGGAAAGTGAATAGGTTTTTTGCAGGAGTACTTGTTTCTGCTCCTAATTTTCATAGCATGGTATAAAATAAAAATACATTGGGAGGAGGACAACTTGCTGGTACAAAAATATTGGAGGGATATATCCTTCTGTCTCTTATGGATTTATACTCATGCTTGTTATAAATAGAATCACCTTCTTTATACAATTATCTAGTTATTCTAAAAATATTGAGTACATCAGCATTATCATCATCATTAATATCGAGTACTAAATGTAGTAAATTTTCTAATAAGTTTAATGCATTTTCATTGATAACTGTGTCATCACAATGTGAAATGTTTTCAATCTGGTGTTGGAGTTTGTTAAGGCATTTTCATAGTTCAGATATTCATTTTTGTTGGACATAATCCATGTATTTTGGAAATGAATGTTTAATTTAGTTTATTTAATTAATGTGCAATGTCATACTATCGACTTTGAAGCAACTCTAAAGAACATATGACAAGGAAAAGCATCCAAAACCGGAAGAATCAAATCTGCAATTTGACAAACTAGTAACAATAATTTAACACATTTGGTTGCAAGATGGTTACATTTAATAGTAATTGTTCTTTCAGAGAAAACGGCAGAACTTAATGGTATCTAATATTGTTACTTTCAAAACCACAATAGAAAAAATTGTTTACTGTGTTACTAAAGTCAAAATAGAGAAAAAATGTTCCATATATCTTTTCAGAGAAAAATAAACTGTAACTTAGGAAGCACAGACTCACAACCACCAAGTAAACAGATGCAGAGGATGAAGGTGTGGAGAATAAGATTGTGCTTACATTCCATTATTGTGTTCACCAGGTCCATCTTCTGCATCCATTTACTTACTGTTGCGAGTCTCTGCTACCTAAGTTATGGTTTGTCTCAGAAAAGTCATACAGAACTAAATGCTTAATGTACATCAGAAGAAGAGATGTTTTATTTATAATAAAATTCTATAATATAAAATAATATATTACTTTCTCACAAGAACAGTTTGTAATTCTTTTCATGTCTTCAAAATCTTCTTCGGTCCCACCGCACAGGTTCGGATAATACAATAACGACTTTTCAACCGGTTTTGGATTCCTCAGTATGTGATTCAAGCTCCCTTCGGTTCCATTATTAGGTTGAGCTGTCACATTTATAAGATCTGTTTACAAAAATAACAATATTAATTATAAATATAGAAAATTAATGCATTTATATTTACATATAATATATACAATATTACAAAAGAAAATTACTTAATAACAGAATTATGTATTATGTATATCAAAACACATACAATGAAACTTTTTTTAACTCATTCCATTCTGCAGATTAAGAACTCATAATGGGCAGGAGAAAGGTCCTCTTTTTCAGACCCATTATGTATTTTAGACAGTTGGTCTACAATAGGAATAACCAAATGGGTGAGCAATAAACCTGGCATATCCATATCAAATCATCCATGAAAATCAGAGATTCTGATTCAGACTCAAACCTTCACATATCTTAGTAGTAGGCTGATGCCTTTACCACCTCAGCCATCCATCAAAACAACTAAATTTTATTTTAGTGAATATAATTTTGTCACCTATACAATTTTCTCAGATTATTTACTAAATATTTCAATTCCCTATATTTTGAAATATATTTACCTGCCATAACATTATAAAGTTCGATGTTCGGAAACGGTTTGACAATGAGATGTGTCTTAAAATCGGGTCCGTGCCCCACAAAAAGTGCCTGTAATTAAAATTATAACAAGATTATAAACATAATATGTTTTAAATCTATCCAAAAATATAAATTAGAGGTTTTTTAAAAGAGCTTTAAATAAATATTGTGATACCTTTATCTTATACAACTAAAAGAATTTATGCAAAAATTTTATAAAATTATTTAAAAAAAACAATTAATATTTAGTATTAATTATTAACAAAATTCAAGATTATTTATCAAAATATTATATACATCAAACACACCTTATTGCTGAGAAACATGTGTTTGATGTATATAATATTTTGCATAAGAGGCTGAGTGGGATTAAGTGATTATTTATCATTTGATTCCTTCTCTCTAAGTGTATTTTAAATATATAGGATGATCCACTTGGGTGTGACTAGTTTTTAAACTGTCATAATAAACACATCAGTTGTACAAAGTTCAAATTTTACCATAGTGACGAGGGAAAGTGGTTGTTTTGTCACATGACAAAAGTAAAAGTGGCACTGGCACAGAGAAACAGAAAGTCTGTCTTTTGGTATGCAAAGTTTGTGTGCATGATGACCATTAAACATGAGTTTAGTCACGTTTATGGTTTCGGGAAGGTGCCTAAGTACAATTGCATAATGCATTGGTATTGCATATTTCAAGAAACAGGGTCAATCACAAATCCACAGTCTGTGGTCACAGGCTGATCCTGATAAGGAAGCTCATGTTTCTGCTTCCTTTCTTGAGAGAAAGTCTGTCTAATCTTCAGACCATTTAACCTAAAACTAACGTACATGAACAGAAAATCTTAAACCTTTTAGCATTTATCTTATTCTATATTGAATTTGGTAACAACTTTCTTTCTCTTACAAAATAATTTTGTCTTTTATAAAACCATAATTTTGTATTAATATACTTATCAAATGTCCATCATGAAACAAATGATGTTATTTATTAATGTATTAATTTTCAACATTAACTGATAATTATTTTGATCACTTGCAAACAAATGTAGAAAAAATATTTCTTGGATACAAACTATATTGCATTTTTACAAAATACATTTTAGTAGTTGAGAGTTTGGTTAATTTTTGTAAAATGTACAATTTAAAAATCTCGAAATTGGATGCATTAAATCCACAGTGGCCAAATTGCAGCTACTATATAGTTATACAATTTCATTTTATAAATTTGAGATGTGTTACTTATGCATACGTACAAGGGCATATCTACATAGGGACCAATAGGACTTAAGCCCTGTGCCCCCAAGTGTCAAGGGCCCACAAAAATTAAATTATTGCCATAAATTTTTAATACTTTTTCATTAAAAATGAGCACTTATTGTATAGTAAAAATAGTTATTATTAACAATATAACGATAATCATTTATAGTATTATTTGTTTTATTGTAATCAATGTAATGTAATTGATCAGTAATTAATCAATGTAAATATTTCTTTAGTTCTTATGTTTTTTATATAAGATATAAAGTTTGTCATTCAACACCATTTCATAAATAAATATATTTCAACTCTGATTTTGATGTTATTAAAAATGAATTTTAAACTCCAATTTAAAGATTCTTAATCTAACAAAAAATGGGGCCCCATTGGACTTCAATAAGTCCTAGGCCTGTCCCTGCATATGTAATATTTTATAATTATTTGGGAGTCACAATAAGAGTTGAGAAGAGCCACGTGCCACTTGTGAGCAGCAGTTTGGCCACTGTGGTACTATAGTACAAACTTATAACGATGACAGAAAATGATGAAATTATGCAGAAAATAAGTAAAACGGCGAAGCCATTTTTGGGACGAGACTATGTCTCGGAGAGTGCGAGCAATGCATGCGCAAATCTCGCACTCACACCTGTTTGTAGAAACAGTCTCAGCATTTTTTGTTTTCCTTTGATCCAGTTCTTGGTCCCCTGACTACCTACAAGTCTGATTTACTTTATGTGAGCATGATTTTGGCACCAAATACTCTGTGTCAAATTGCAACTCCTGACATGTACTCCTTCATACCTCTAAGGTATGAAGGAGTACATGTCAGGAGTTGCAATTTGACACAGCTAAATTTGACACAGTCTAAAATCGTGCAGCTGTTGACAGCAGCACGATTTTAGACGACGAGACATAGTCTCATCAATAACAAAACTGATATATTGAGTAAATAATATAATAATAATAGAAGAGCTTAATGGTACAATTTAACAAAAATATTTTTAGCAACAAAAAGAATTAAATCTGATGTACTCGAGTATTCTATTTTTGCTCTACAAAAAGCATATACATTATATTGAATTACATATATGAACAATTTTTGTGATAAGGAGAATCATTCAATTAAATTATATTTGAATATAAATCAGTATAAGTAAAAGTTATTTAAAGAGAATATTATCAAAAAACTCAAGATGTTTTCTTGAGTTTTTTTGATAATGTTCTCTTACTTCTTTATAAAATTACAACAAAATCTACTTCATTGAAATCAGAAATGAACACGTAGCATCTTACTGAATGCTTTTTAAGTGATTACTTCATCTTTGAGGAAATTAATTACTAAAAATGCCACAAAGAAGGAATTAATTGCCCAAAAAGTATTGATACTTAGGAATACGTTACACACTCATTCTGACTCCATTAAAGTAAGTTTCTTTGCATCTTTCTGGAAAACAGTATCCTATTATATAAAGGTACCCAACAGATTTTGTCATGGTGCAAAACATATACAATTTAAATTAACTAGATATTTTCTAACCGATTGATTCAATAAAATTGCATTCCTTAAATGGATATATTATACTTATACTATCTTAATCTATGGTCATGAGAATAAATATAAACATGTATATAAAAACAAACAGAAATTTAAAATCACATACAGGCCCGCCGTAAGCGGGCGTGCAAGGCGTGCACCGCACGCGGGCGGCACGTCCAGGGGGCGGCAAATCGAGCGATCGGTCACGTAATATTCAAAGTCATTGTCCCAATACCCACCCTACTTATAGCATAAGAAATGTCTTCGCAAGGAGAAAAAAATCCGACCGGAGCGCAATTACTATATTCTTATTTAGCGTATATTATAGCGTTAACAGCACCTCTATTGGCATTTATCAGAATTAAGATTCAATGCGAAACGTCTGTTGGCAGATTGAACCATCCGGCAGCGCCCGAAAGCCAAGTACTCATAGTCGTGCTCTATTACAGAAGTTGACAGGACTGGAGAAATTAGGGAATCCCCACAGAGCTTCCTTCTCAATTTGTACTTGTACGCATTTGAACAGTTCTATCGCGTATCAAATTGCAATTATTTTGTTAATAATTCTTCTGCTATGGATCTAAGTATAATTAATGATATTTTAACTTGGTTAGGATTTAAATCTGAAGCTTAAAGACGATTCGAGTAGTGAACAGACATTGATGGTATTGATTTGTTAAATGAAATCAATACTTTAAAGTTGCATTTTCCAGAAAACAAGTCTAATGATCCACAAACCTTATTACAATATCTTTTTACTAATGACTTAATTTCAACATTTCCGAACACAGCAATAGCACTAAGAATATTACTTACATTGCCGATTTCAGTTGTATTTGGTGAAAGGTCCTTTTAAAGTTAAAATTATAAAAAAAAAACTATTTAAGATCAACAACGCACCAGCAAAAATTAAGTAATTTAGCTATACAGTATTTTCAATTGAACACGAAATCTTAGACTGCTTTGATACATGAAAATTGATAGCAGATTTCGCAAACATAAAGGCAAGAGAAGTTCAATTTCTATAGATAAATATTTATATGGTTTTACACTTAAGTAAACAAAAATAACTTAGTAATAATAGATTTTCTTTGTAAAGTATTTCTTTTCTTTTTTCACACCCTTATGAGACAACATTAAAGAGCCTTTCTGGCAAGCTCAGCGTAGGTAATCGTAGTTAAACAGGGGGCGGCATAATCGGTATTGCACACGGGCGTTCAAACTGCTAGCGGCGCCCCTGATCACATATGAACTTCAAGGTCAGTCCACAATGAAAGTAATGAGAAGTTCTTATTACTTTCATCACCAGACTGACCTCGAGGTTCGTATTTACACTATCCAGTTCTGATGCAGAAGTGTTCTCGAGAAGAAATTCAAACTACTTTAAAAAATGCAGAATCTTTCAAATAGAATCGAGCCTGTATATAACCTTAAGAAATAGATTAGCCATCTCATTGCATGCAGACAGTTATTAAAATAAATTTACTATTACAAAATAAAAAAAAAGTCCGTCAGTAGCCAAATGGATAAAACCACTAAACACTTGTTATGGTTTATCCATTGTAGTTAGTCATGGGTTTGCGCCTTGCCAATGGCTGGACACATGGCATTTTCTGAGTTTTCTCTACATTTGCAATACCTAAATAAGAGCTAGTTTTCCATAGAGAGTCCTACTGGGAGGCATCTCCCTCAGCAGATAGACCATGTGTCATGTTGTGTCATGGTGCCATATACATACATACATATTCTTACAAAATACCTTTAAAAAATCTATATAAGTTCAAACAAAACAAAAAATAAACTGCATTTCAGTGTGGATTGGACTGATAATTATTAATGCAATGCACAAGCAATCTATGAAAGAAGTTGCCTCCCAGAATAACTTTCAAAGGAAAACTGGATCCGATTTAAGTATTATACTTATAAAGAAACCCAGAAAACTCCATGCAGCAGTCCATTGGTCAGGTGCAAACTTACAACCAACTACCAGTGAAATCTCAGCAGAGTAAAATGATCCTTCTGGTCCATCTCCATGGGCATTCTTTTATCATACACTGTAAACTTAATGAAAAATCTACATTTAAATATTGGATACAAAAGGTTTTTTCACATTCTTACATCAAGTGATGAGATTTCTGACTTTGTACTTTCTTTAGTATTTTTATTGATATAATTTTTTATACATTCCAATCATCATTAGATTCAATTCTGAAATATTTATCATCAAAATTATGGAATTTTCAGTGACATTGAGTGACTCCATTGATACTGTA